TTCGAAATGGGAAATGATGATGGCACGAAGTCGTCGTCGGTATGTACGCGCGTTCTCTCTCTCTCTCGCCGTTTGCTCTGTTAACGGTTGCTCTTCGCCGACTAGGAGAAGACCGGAAAGCTTGATTACACTCGTGTATTAAGTATATGAATTATATATTAATTAGATTATACCACACATCGCGCGCAACATCAACAAAGTAATGTGACATGTTTATCGTCCACGTCGCGTACTATTAATGTTGTTTACTGAAACTGTGTGTGTATTTGTATATGTGTGTGTACATCAAGAGTTTTAATACCGCAGTTTTGCAGCTCGTTGATTCATTTCGCGAGCTCTGTTACACTTGAAACAAATTTGCGACGGCGGTACACGGATGCGCAGAGTAAATAACGGTTAAAAATCCCCGACGTCATTCACGTCTAGCAAAAGAGAGAGAGGAATAAACGTCGGGGGTTACGCAAATATCAAATCATACTGCGAACGACAACGTGTTGATTGCAGAGAGAGTAGAGTCAATATTATTCAGTTATGATGTCAGAATTGTATTTATATATATATATATATATATTTATATATATATATATATACGCACGCGCGTATATAAAAAAATATAGAAAAAAGTACGCATATATATACATATATATATATATATATATATATGTGTAAGCAAAAATATACATGAATTTTCTCCGCACGATGGAGATTATTCGAGCAGCAGGGCGCTTTAAAAGTAAAGTGCGATGAAGCCCATTTCCAGCGCATTTTGAGCGTGCTTGCGCATGCATGGGAGCTATATATGTATATAATTCGCGTAGAAATTTAAAATCGCTAAAATCAACAACATTTTAAACGGAAAATATCGGACGCGCGTGCATCATCGCGGCGGCAAAGCCATAACGGTGGCGCGCGGGCAGAGTCAATATTATTCAATTATATATAGAACTGTCTACATATACAGACGCCGAGTGTGTGTGCCGAAAATTTCGCAAAATTCATTTATTACGAAATCATTTTTGCTTTCCCAATTTTGACCAAGTTTACGATTATATACATAAATGTGTACGGCGCGCGCTGCTCGCCATCTGACGCGTTACGCCCGCGCGGAGGCCAATGCTCGAGGAAACTTCAACGCGCGTACACACGTGTAATAATCACCCGGGCACAGGCTCTTCGGCAGAGCAATTAAACTCTACTCTGTTAAATTTCCTATCTGTATCAAAACACACGTCGAGAAGCGATACAAGAGAGATAACGCGCGCGTTGAATCTGCTTAATTGTTCGAGATTTTGTGTACAGACTGTTATAGCAGTCGACGTACATACAACAACATGTAAATTTTCTTAAATTTCCGGAATTTTGTTTTCCAAGATTGTTTGTGTGTGTGTGTGTGTGCGTGTAACAAATAAATAATTAATTAAAAATATAGTCGCAGTTAAATAATTAATTAGTTTCTGCGCGTCCTCTTCGGAGAGTAATAATAATATACAATTTGGTATAATCAAGAGAGACTTCGTAAAATTAATCTTCCTTCTAATTTTCATCGCGTTATAACGCGAGTTACAAATTAATTATTTAACCAACGTTTCTCCTAACTGAAATATTATTCATAGCGTCCATTACCTCCGAGCTAGACCGACTGGGTTTTCGCGCGATTTCTCGCAGCGAGCCGAAAATAAATCGGCAGGTCAGACGTTGCCGTCAGTTTTAGCTCGAACAAACAACAATTGTCCGATTGCTCTTCGCCAGGTCGCAATAATACAGGGTTGTGCGTTAAACCGCTGTCTGGACGCGCTCTCTCTCTCTCTCTCTCTCTCTTTCTGTATCAGCACGGTTTGTCAGCACGTATATATCTCGCGGAGACGCGTGTGTCACATCGGTATGTGACCCGCGTTAAATTTGGAAGGTGCGCACTTAATACCTCGCTCGGACGTCACCCGTTCCGGACACGCGGCACGCGCATCGATTGTGATGTCGCGCGAGGCCCCGTTCGAATTCAAATGTCACTGCGCGCGAACGAACGTATCTGATGTATGAAAAGTCAAGCACTTCGTGACATTAAAATACTACTAGACGCTTTTTATTTTTCGAGCGCGCTAAACTTCCGCGTGAGAAAGAAAACGACGACAACAATCGGCGCGACAAAGAAAACGACCGATTCTCTATTTTTAACTTCTCCGTCGTCGTTAATTAAGTGAAATTAATTAATAGAATTTCCCCGCGAGAGCAAATTGGAATAACGATATTTGTTTTATATTCTCGTCTATTTTTTATACATTTACGACACGGAAACCGATAGTTAACTTTTCCGAAAAAAAAAACAAAAAAAGGAACAGGTTTTTGCGTAACACAATTCCGGCAGAGGGTAATAAATAAATACTTCTGTTACAGAGTCACAAAAACGTCGTCGCTTGTTTACGTGCAAGTGGATATAGTGAACTTTTTTCACTACTTTTGCAAATATTCATTTCATTTGTTGTTTTTTTGTTTCTTTTTTTTCTTTTTTTTTTTTTTTTTTTTTATCAGCGCACGGAGAATCTCATTAGATCGTGTGTGTGTGCTTTCTATACGGGGAGGGAAGGCGGAATTAACGGGGGAGATTTGCGCGATAGATAAAGCAAAATTACACACACACGTGAGCGACAAAGCGTAAGCGAAATAGTTGACGACTAAAGATAGGATAAGAGAGAATTGTAGCATCTCGCGCATATCTCGCGTTATCCGACGCCGCGTCTCCATATAGCAGGATATGTGTTGTAAAGGTGTAATTTAATATCCCTATACATTCGCGCGCGTGTAACGCGCGCTTCGAAATTCTGTCGCGAAGATACGTGCGGGCGGAGCGCTTGAAAAGTGGCGAACCCGAAACGTCGGAGCGAAAATGTGATTTACGAGACGGAAGCGATTTATTGCTTTTCGTTCTCGCGGCGGTTGCATTAATAGCGCGCGTCAGGCCAATTGCGGGAGGCAGAAGCTTGCTTGTTTCCCCGAAATCTCGTATGGTGTATTTTACTCCGTAGTTTGTACATATATCTCGGATCCTCCCTAATCCTTTCTGAATTATTATATCTCTTCTTCTCTCGGGAGAAATGAGAGAAATGATTATTGTTATGTCGCGCGAAGGGGAAGAAAGAGCGAGTATGTCGAGAGTAAAGATGTCAAAGGCGCTCGATCGCGTGCTTCAAGATAAGTATGCACCACGTATCCATCATGATTACACCTTTTTTTTTTTCTTTTTTTATTTTAATGACCGACTTTCCGCTTCTGAAGAGGATGGAATAAGAGAATTATTTTTGTGACGTAACTCTGATAAGCAGTGTTAAAACATTAGAAAGTAGTGCGTGACTAACATCAGGTAGGTTTTTCTGTTTTTTTTTTTTTTTTTTTTTTTTTTTTTAATGTTACATGCACGTAATAACGGACGAGGGCTCGAGCGTTCGAGAGATGTGACGATGTTGATATTGTGTTCCATTAATTAAATTGTGGATAATTAAATTACGTTGATTCACACTCTCTCCACCGCGCGGAAACGAGGAACAATTTAATTTTTTTTTTTTCTCCTCTCGCGCTGGAGAGACGCGAAATGCCACATTTGTAGATTCTCGTCTCTTACCATCGTTCGATTTGGCACTTTATTCTATTGCCGGTTTAACTGCGTCTACGCGATACGTTTACGTCTAATCTCTCCGATGCGCCACGATGCGATTGCGCGCGCGCACGAGAATAGGCCTAACGACGACGCCCGGTTTGATCGCGATTAGTTTCTCTCGCTTCGGGATTTTCCGAAGCTGCGCTGCAATTTATAAACTTTACCACCCGTCCCGGGTTGCCGCCGAATCGAATTCCGTTCCGTCACATGTTTTTATCCGATATTCGTACAAGCTACACACATGCATACCCGGTTATCGCGAAACGCCATTTATCGCGAACGCGGCACTTTGCAAAGTGACGGAAAAGGATTTTGCAAATTCAATCCCTCTCACTACGCCGAAGGCTCGCTCTCTTTTTTCGACCTCCTTTTTCTCTCTCTCTCTCTCTCTCTCTCTCTCTCTCTCTCTCTCTCTTTTTCTCTTTTGCCGTAGCGTCTTAATTGTTCGCGCGCGAAAAAAGAACGCACGTGCACGGGACGTTTGTGCGACGCGGTTAGGCGTATAAGTTTTGCGGAGTGGAAGTGCATTAGGTAGATGGAACGCATAATTGGGGCCGCGCATGCACCCACGTATTTCCTTCTCTTTTTTTCCCTCTCCGCATTTTCTCGCTCTCCCTTCCGACCCGTATTGCCCTATTTCCTCGCTCTCTCTCTCTCTCTCTTTTTTTTCTTTCTCTCTCTCTCTCTCTCTCAGAACGCCCTTCGCCGTTAACCTGTTTATTTTAACGTACGTTTAGATAAAAGCGACGCTGCTCGATTCGCCTCGCGTGCGCTGTTCTTGCGCGCGCGCGTGTTCGAGAATGCTATACACAACAACGCTCGACTTTTGCACCTATAACCGGCTCGCCGGCGATCGATGCCGTGCTCTCTTTCACGTGCATGTGAATAGAATTGCGATATATCGCACACACCGACCGCCGCGCGAAAGAGCCACGGCGGACCACAGCGGGGCGGGCGGTCGAATCGTCGATAAGCTTTGCGATTATCAATTGGCAATCGAGCGCGCGTTGGTGTTTCTCGGCTCGACATTACCAGTGATTACCTGTCGGACTTCATTACGGGTTAGCTTCCATACACACAAGTCGATCGACAGTACTTCCCACGGGCACTGTCTATTCGCCAACTACCGCGAGAGAGAGAATTAACCCGCTGCGCGGGCATATAATCGATGCGCGGTGCATATGTATATATGTATGTACGAATGTATGTTTGTGCGTGCGTGTGCGTGTGTGTGTGTGTGTGTGTGTGTGGTACGATATGTGTTACGTTCGTACGTAATGTGCAAGATGTGTAAGCGCAGAGACGGAAACACAAAGCCACGTTAAGCTGGTTTGCGATTGGTGTGTTGCAGACACGAGGTGCCTGTCACCTCGGAGCCGATCACGGTGATACACATGGACGAGGACGTCGTCGTGGTCAACAAGCCCGCCTCCATCCCTGTAAGTGGTGTACTGCCAGAACTGTACTGCCAGAAAATTGTTTGCTGTGTATATTATTGTTATTATTATTATTATTATTATTATTGTGTCTACTACCATTTGTACCATGTATACAATACACTCGCGCGCACTGTTGCATGAAAAAGACGCTTCTCTCTCGAGAATCTCCGGTCGCATGAACACACACACACACATACATATACACTGGAAGCTTCGGCGCTCACCTTTGCCGCTCCTAGAAATTCTCTCCTCCTAAACTTAAACGCACAATCGCCTTCGCTAAAAATTACTCCCGGAGCTCTCCTTCCTCCCTCCCTCCCTCGAGGCTAGTTTCATTGTCGGTTAAATTTGGAATTCCCGGAGTCTAATTTTTTTCCTTGTTACTTCTTTTGCAACTCGCTGATGATTCTCCGTCTTGCTTTTTTTTCTCTCTTTCTCTCTCTTTCTCTTTGTCTAAATGTATGTGTTCCGCGACTGCTACCTGAAATTAAATCTTCCTGTCGCGTTGACGACCCGGAAAATGCAGGCGTTTTCGCTTCTTCGCTCGCTAACGTCGACCTTCTAATTTTGTGAGCGTGTTTTTTTTCTTTTGTTTTTGTCGCTCGCAAAAAGGCGACTAAATCGTTGCTAACGAGTCCGTTTTTCAGACGGCGACGGCGGCCAACGAAAACAGCGCGCGGTTTAACAGATGCGCGCCAAACGGCAAAAGTCCCCTGGCGGGAATTCGCCTTTTTAAAATGCAACGTTTCGATGTCCTCTCATTGACCCCGGGTTCTCTCTCTCTTTCTCTCTTTTGCCTAGTGGTACTTCTGTGGATGTAGAACAATCGCAACAAACAAACAACAAAAAAAAAAACAAAACAAAACAAAACAAAAAGCAAAAAGAAAAAAATTTATGCATACGGAACTCGCGCAAATGCGAGAAGTCAAAAGAGAGAGAGACTGCGTTATAAAAGTTACTATTAAAATGTTAATCGCGCGCGTTACGCCGCTCGCAAATCACGGATAATTTACTCCGCGCTATTATTGTCCGTCCGCGATAATACCGGACCCCGGTGAACGTCGCAAAAACACATAAAGGGTCGAGTAAGCACCGCGTGCGCTGTGTGGTTAACTACTATAACGCGCGATTCCGCGAGTCCGATGCGTTAAACCGCGAATTGCTGATTTACTGGCTGGCGCGCGGCCGTGTTCAAACGATTGAAGAAACGTTTCGTCCCGAAGGAATAAAGGCAAGAAAGAGAGAAAGAAGGAGAGAGAGTAGGGCCTCTTTCGAGCGACCCAATCGATTTCAATTGTTTCGCGATCTTGTGAAGATAAAAGATAAAAAAAAAAATAAGCCGACTTGTAAAACAAAGACAGAACACACGGGAGGGGGAGGGAGGACATTACGCGATACCGCGAGATTTCAATGCCTCCCTGTTTTCTATTTTTTAATGTCTCTTTTCTTGTCTTCCTCGCACATGTCGTCTCTCCTCGCTCCCGGGACCGTTAGTTATACAACACCGCCCCGGTGTGATTGCAGGTTTCATTCGCCCACGACGACGAAGTCGTGAAGCTTGTCGACGGTGTAAAAAAAAAAAAAAAAAAAAAAAACTCGTAAACGCGCGGCGCATCGAGAAGCAAAGAGAGAACCCGAGAGAGCCCCGGCTACTTTTCTCCTCAAATGTCACCGAATGCACACGGCGCGTCTCCGCCTCCGCGCGCGTCGTCGTTAACAAGAGTTGCTTGCGCAACACAAAACGCCGCGCATTAATGCAAAAATAATCCGACGCGCTGTGCATCCGTCGAGAGTTGTTGTCGGCCGCATCGCGATGCGCGGAATTAATGGTCGGTCGGTCGGTATTCGCTTTCTCGAGTATCTTTTCTTCTTTTCCCACTCTGGTCCCGACCGCGAGATAAGAGATCTATCTGCGAGATCTCCGGATTGCTTGACGATTGGTTGAATTAATTTTCGCGTGCAGACATGTCATCGTTTAAACGTCGGCGTTATGCAATCGGACAATCTTGTCGCGCCGCGCGATTGTTGTGTTCTCTCATTTCGCCGCATAAATTGTAAAGAACGAGAAAATGATTGTATTTTTTTCTTGCGCGCGTGCACGCGAGAGTTTTGAGTTATTTTTAGTAGCATACGTTATTTTATATAAAATGTGTATAAAGTCACGATAAGGAGAGAGAACGTTTTGTTTTTTTTTTTTTTTTCCCGAAAAACAGCGCAGAATGAGAGAAATATTCATCGTGTAGTTTTAATTTAATGTACGCCGGACATAAAAAAAAAACAAACAAACAATAATAATAATAATAAATACGCCGGAAAAGCTAATTTGTCAGTGTAAAAAATTTATGATTTATGCGTTTGCTCGCGAAATTTCCGGACGTTTATTTCGCGGTGAGGGAATGCAAAAGACGTGAGATACTTGAGGTCACGAGTAAAAAAAAAGCCTCGTCTCGTTGTTCCGCTTATTCTCCGTGCAAATTGCGCTGGACAATAAAATTACTTTGCTTTTATGTGTGCGCGATATAGAGCTTTTAAATTAATTTAAACAGCGAAACTGTTTTGTAGAATTTTATCAAATTAAGACGCAACGCGATGAAACGTCCCGGGTTCAGACAAAGAGAAAAATCTTCTTTTTTTTTTTTTTTTTCTGCGTTACGATCCTTCGAATTGAACGAAAAGAGCCAAAGAAGAAAAAGCCAGTCGCATTTCTCAACGTTCGAGTTCGGAATTTATTCGCCTGCTTGATATTCGTGAAATTTATTTCGAAACGCGCGAAGTGGCGATCTTTTTGAGCGGGGGGAGAGAGGGAGTAAAGTGCCTTCAATCGCCGAATTATCGCGGTGGTGCGCCGAGTCGATAGCCGGTCATGTATTATCGCGCATATATATATATATACATATATATTCATATATATATATATATACGGTCATGTATTATTGCGCGTACATACACGTGAACGACCGCGGTGCTGATAGACGCGCCGACTTATCGAGCCGGGAAGAGTCCGATAGGATCCAACCAGCCAGCCAGCTGGTACCTACAAATCCGCATTGTCGACCGGGAACGTATAAAGCGTGTCGTGCCGATTCGAAACGATGAATCGACCCTTCTTTTGTAAGCGCGATTGCTTTTTGTCCCGTATTTGTCAGGAAGGAGTGTTGTCTGCTCTGTTCTCTCTCTGTGTGCGTGTATGTGTATGCGTGCTTGCGTGCGTGCGTGTGTGTGTGTGTGTGCGTGCACACGTACATTCAATTTACATTGACCACATGCCGATAAGCCAAGAAGTAAAGCATCCGTCAAAATTTCCTCTCGCCCGTCCGCGCGTGCACTTCATAAATTTTATCCTCCGCATTCGATTTTCCCTGAAAGATATTCCCTGGTTTTGCCACTCGATCAGAAGTTGTGCGAAAAATGCGGAAAATGCCAAGCCTAGACGCTTTACAAACTCGGAGAGAGCGGAGCTATTGTGTAACTTTCCTTCTCCGGTATTCCTGGCGCTTCGAAGTACATATCGAACTTCTCAAGCGGAGAGAACACCGGGGCAAGAGAAGCCCGGCGGCGAGAAAATGACCCCTCTGACCCCGATTTGTGATCGCAGGTGCACCCGTGCGGCCGCTACCGGCACAACACCGTGGTCTTTATTCTGGCGAAGGAGTACAATCTGAAGAATCTCAGAACCATCCACAGGCTGGACCGATTGACGAGCGGCATACTCCTGTTCGGTCGAACGCCGAAGAAGGCGAGACAGATGGAGCACCAAATAAGAAACCGACAGGTCGGTGTGTTGCGTAAGAGAAAAGCGTGTTGCGAGAGAAAAACACCCGGGGCACAGCTGGCGTTCTTCTCGTTTTGTTTTACTCGCCGAACGGGACGCATGTGTGTGCGAACTCGTCGTATTTTTTTTTTCTTGTTTCAGGTCCACAAGCAATACGTTTGTCGGGTGGAGGGCGAGTTCCCGGAGGAGGAGGTGGTCTGTTCGGAACCGATCGAGGTGGTCTCGTACAAAATCGGCGTCTGCAAGGTCTCGGAGAAGGGCAAGGACTGCATCACTCGCTTCAAGCGTCTCAGCTACAACGGCAAGTCGTCCGTGGTGCTGTGCAAGCCGCAAACCGGGAGAATGCATCAGATCCGCGTGCACTTGCAATATCTGGGTTACCCGGTGGTGAACGATCCGCTGTATAATCACGTGGTCTTCGGTCCGCATAAGGGAAAAAACGGTAACATCGGCAAGACCGATGAGGAGCTCGTGCGGGATCTCATTAGTATTCACAACGCCGAGAATTGGCTCGGCATGGACGGCGACTCGGATATGAGTTTGTTCAAGCCAAAGCTGGAACTGGAAGAGCGAATGTTGGTCTCCGGAGACAAGGACAATAGCTCGTCATCGCCGTCGTCCACTCCCGGTCTGGTCGAGGACGAACAGCAGCAGCCGCAGCAGCAACAGCAACAACAGCAGCAACAACAACAGCAGCAGCAGCAGCAGCAGCAGCAGGAATCTCTCAAAGTCACCGTGGGTACTCAAACAGGCTCGGAACCGCCGGATTCCACCTTCGCCAATGACAAGGTCACCGTCGACCCGCACTGTTACGAGTGCAAAGTCAAGTACAGAGACCCGAAACCGTCGGACCTGGTGATGTATCTGCACGCGTGGCGTTACTGCGGCCCGGGATGGGAGTATGAAACGCCGCTGCCAGCGTGGGCGGCGAGCGACTGGACCGGCGACGATCGATAGTTTGTCCGGGCAAGATGATGATCGAGGATGATCCGCGCGGATTCCTCGGCGAGCTGTCGTCATCGCCGAGTCTCGAACTCCCCTTTTGATATCCTTACCCCGTGCCTTCCATCCGCCAACGAGCGATCTTGACCATCGTACACGCGATTACACGTACACGAATACTCCCCCTCTCCCCCCCCCCACACACACAAACTTACACGTAACGAACGCAATACACATCCCCCGTAAACTCGGCCGTCTCGGATTTCACGAAGCTGCGATCCGAGGGAAATAGAATTGCTGGAACAATCACGTCGCTCGATTTGCATTTCTGCGACTCGCGTCGTCGTTCGCCACGTCGATATGTAAGTGACAATTCTCGGGCGTTATCGCCCCGAGACGGAAGACCGACGAGAATGAAAACAATTCGGTCGGATGCCGTTTCACGTGTGCACAGAAACGTTACGTGTTTGCGTTTCTCAGGAGATAGAAAATATCGAGTGCGCGCGCGCGCGCGTTTTATCATATATTCTGGCAGAGTCTCGCGCAAAATAACTCCTCCCGTGCGGGACACGATCTCGTGCGGGAAACGATCCGAGACGATGTTATTACGCGAATTAATCATAGCGAGAAAAGACAACCGGTTGTTACCGGTCTTATTACCCTAATGCTGTCCTGATTTCGGAAGCCAAATAATAAATCAGATCGTTATTATTGTTTATTTTTGTCTCGTTGCTCACGCTGAGCTCACGTTTTCCCGGGTTTTCTCCCTTGTCATCAATTCCTCTCGAGCGCGTGTCCTCCCTCTACTTCGCGTGGCTGCGCGGAGTGAAGTTCACGCAGGTGAGATGTCGCAACAAGGCGCAATGATTGTTCCCACAATCGTTTTCTCTCTGTAAAAGCGGCTTCGAGAAGAAGTTTTTTTCTCGTACGGTCGGTATCAAATGTTTACAAGTCGCAGGATTTCGTTGTGGCGTCCAAATGGTGATTTTTTCGCATCGCAAAAAATCACGATAAGAAATATTGCAATAAATAATCTGTGAATAATAAGTTAACGTGTGATTGTGTATCGTCGCAATGTTTTACAATATTACTCGTCTATCGGTACGTCGTGTTTGAGAGGACACGAAGAGGATTCACGATCGCGCGCACAGCGAAGCGAAAATACATATCTTTTGTTTTTCACTTTGTAATCTGATTAAAAAGGGAAAAAAGAACAAAACAAAAAAACAAAACCACTCGAATAATTCTCTACTTTACAATTCGCGCGAGTTGTTTTCCAAGATCTTAATTATAATTCAGTGCGATTCGCACGGTATGCGAGTGAGAATCACACGAGAGAGTCATTTGCGCGAATATTCTAGCGGACTGAGACAAATGTGTGTTTCTGGAAACGCGCGCCGATACTCCCGCGACCGCTTTTATGAGCGCGAGCGGTCGGTCAAAAAGTCACTGCCAGCGGAGCGAGAGAGGACGAACGCTTAACACGCGAGCGAGAGAGAAAAAGAGAGAGAGAGAGAAGGAGAGACAGAAAAGATTGATGCATCTTGTCGGAGGCGAGTATAGTATTCCGATAGATCGTATCGTTCATCTTGATTTATGACGCGCGCGTCTCCTCTTCGCGCTAATTTTTCCAACGGCGGAATCGCGCAACTTTTCCGATCTACAACGTTCTTCGATTCGCGCGGCTGAGAGATCCCATTTCCTCAAATTTCAAAAAAAAGAAGACGCTTTGCAGCGCGAACGTTTTCGAGAATTAAAAGTTTCAAGTTAAAAAATATCGAACGACACGTTTGTCGTCGAATTATTTAAACACACCGTCCGTGCGCGTTCTCGGTTACATCTCTCGTCGGCGGTTCTTCGAATCTGACCGGAAATCGACCTCGGACGGACCAAATGATATCGATTATATTTGAGCAAGTAGTGTTGCTTTTGGCATCAAAACTCGCTTCTTCTCGATTTGACAGAGTCGGCCTAACTACGGAAATGTATTTATATCCATCGCCTCGGCGAGATTCGCTTTCGGGAAACAAATTCTCAACGAAGCCCTGCGATTTTTCGTACTATCTCGCTATTTGTATATCGCTAAATATATGTATATATATATATACGTATATATATATATATATATATATATATGTATATATATGTATACATATACATGTATAACATGTATGTACGTATGTATCACTGCGAGAAAGATTCCATAAACGCGTGTCTCTTATACGAGAGAGGAAGGAAAAGAGTGTGTTACACGTCGGTGTGTGTGTATATATAATATATATGTATATGTATATCAATACTTTCGTCAGAGGAACCGATGTTAGATATACGCGATCCTTTTCGGTTGTGCCTCGTGATCGTCAGTTTCCTGTTTCGCGCGCGCTCCGATTTTTCGTCCGATTCCGAGAGATCACCTCCTTCAAAACGGAAACCGCAAAACTCTACATTCTCGAAACCGCGCGCGCATCACGCAAGCAATTACTTTCTCCAGTTGCTCAGCCGCATTCTCACCAACGATGACCACCACGGTTTCCCTCCCCTTCCCTCCCCTATTGAGAATTGTGTTTGTTCTCATTCACACGTCGCGTTTCCGCGCGATTCACTTTCGCACGATTTCGAGAATTAAACTCCTTCGGAATCGAGACGACGGAGAAGAGAGAGAGAGAGAGAGAGAGAGAGAAGAGAGAGATACGATCGTATCCTTCGGAAGAGAGCCACGTGTAGGAGACTGACGCAGGAGGAAATCGCGATAGAGAGGCGCGTCTATTTTTATGGACAGATATATAACGAGAAACTGATGTGCGGTGGCGCGGATCCAGCGCGGCACGGGTCTCCAACAATAAGCGTGATCTTGCCGGAAAACAGCCAACGATCATGCCAAAGAGCGAACGACCAGCGAGCTTTCAGTCATATCGTGCGTACCTTTTCTCGCCGAGCGAGAAGATTGCGCCGTGTCGGGCGAAATGAGAGGTGTTTTTCGCAACAAGTACAATCCGAAAGCGAGTAAAGTGCAAGAAATAGAGAGAGAGAGAAAGAGAGCGTGTGTGTGGGTATGCGTGCGTGCATATATGTATGTATGTATGTGTGTATGTGTGTGTGTGTGCGTGCTACAATTATTTTATTACCGATCGCGTTCTCGTGTTAAAAAGAAAAATAAAAAAAAATAAAAAAATAATAAAAACCGCAAAAGACAACCGCAAAACGTGTATCTTCGCGCGCGAGTTGACTGTGTGCGTGTGTTGCAACATCGTTCTGGCTTGCAAGCTGTCTCGTCTGCCTTCGTTTCTGATCGCGTGCACGCCGAGACTGATTGTCAGCCTAAAACCGAGCTTTCCATTACCGATTTCTATAGTAAGATTCCATCACACACACATACACACACAACACACATACACATACTTGTGCTGTACACGCACTTGTCTCGCGCGCGAGCGCGACGTCGAGGAAGCTGCACGAGAGGTCTGTTTCGCGTCACGCGCGACGCAAACGAGTGAGCGAACACGAAGCAAACCAAAAGCAACAACAAAACACACGCTGCTCCGCTCCGTCTGTGACGCGCAGCTTTTCAGCTTGTATTTTAGCATCTCGTAGGAGAGGAGGGAAGGTGTGAAGATCGTCGGGGTCGTCGCGAGCAGTGATGGGAAGCGATCCAGAGGCGATTGGCGAGTTAGTACAGACGCGAATACGTGCATTAGATTACGTAATTTTCCGATGAAAAATTGCCGATTTTCGACGTCACAAATCTCCGAAACGTACATACCTTTTTCTAACGGGGCCAACTCACGTGCGACGCGTCTGGATGTTTGCCGAGATGTGAGATCTTCAAATGACAAGTGCTACGACCTATGATTGTACATACATATAAATATATCGCGATATATTAACGAGGTTTAAATCGACTCGTCACCGAAGTAAATCCGATATAATAAATGTTAGATACGTATTGTTTAATTTACAAGACGTTGCAGCGTCGAATATTGTGTTTGCTAAATATATTTTTAGACGCTCTTCGCTTAAGGCGAATAAGCGAAGAAATTTAAAAAAACAAAAAAAAACAGCTCGTAAATTAGTTTGATTAAAAAATCGATTGTCTCTTTTTTTTTGTTTTATATAGAAAGAAACAAAACAGGATCAAGATAGACCGCGAATAGCGTATTTAATCTTTAAATATTTTCGTTTGTCAAGATATTTAAGGCGCAGATCGATTTAGAAACCAGTTTGTATGCGAGGAGATACGTTAGTGCCTACAAATGTCCGAATAACGTGTGTGATGATGTTAATACTAATGTGTCTAGGTATCTTCCAGAGAGAAAGAGAGAGAGAGAGAGACCTATACTTGAGAGACAAACCGATCTTGCCATCACTGCCCGCGAGTCATGAATACGCGAGAAGCGAAATGAAAAGAAACGTAAAAGCGGATGCGAGAAAAAAAGAAGATGGGTTTGGTTAGATTATATATATATATATATAAAATACATACGTATAGGAATATGTATAGATAATAAAAAAAAAAAAAGAGAAAGAGACGAGAAGGGAGATAAAACGTAACAACGGACCTATCATAAAAGACAGTGTGTGCGCTTACTAACTCAAAGCGGGATTAGCTCGCCCGTGTCAGCGGGCGAGTTAATCCCGAACGCAACGGCTAGCTTAAAATTCTATTATTTAAGTAACTAACGATAATTCGAGAAAAACCGCGAAAAAGACAGTTCCGATTTCTAGTGGCGCTAAGAGAGAAAGAATGCGAGCAAGAATGTGAGCAAGAATGCGAGAGAGACAGAGAGAGAGAAAGAGAGCGAAAGTGAGTGAGATGTAGCGCGGATTAATCTGCGAAAAAAAAAAAAAAACGAGCGAGTGTGCTTTTGTATATATGTATTGTATACGCACATTGTACCGTATCTGTAAAAGGCCACATTATTATCTGTACCGTAGCCGGCGGAACGTTTAGCGCTAGTGGAAAAATTCTCTTGTATGATGAACGAATAAATGCAAAGTATCGTTCGATAAAAAAAAAAAAAAAAAAAAAAACTGACCGAGTATAATTTTCATCCAGATGTTTCAGGCAAGTTACCGCACGTTTTACCTCAAATGTGCAAATACCGCGGATCGTGTGCATGATTTATTCGATGGAAAAAGGCACTCGCCCAAACCCCACGTCGGTCGTGGTTTCGTTTCGGTTTCGAAGCGGTACCGCGCGGCAAAAATATTTTTCATTCAACAACCCATATCAGTTACCTTTATCGCTACCCGCGCGTAATACAGTTTCGAGCACGGACGACCGTTAGTATAACTCATAGAAACGCTCGGGGGCGACCGCGCGGCCGTGTAATATAAATTCCCGCGAAAACCGCGTAACCCGTGTAGTTACACTATTTGCGTTCGCAGAACGAGAAAGGTAAACGTTTAGCCTTACAGCTTCGAGTAAGTTCGGTCGATATTCGGAAACACAGAAAACGAATCTTGTTGCACACGCGCGATACAAACGAGTGTTACGCAAAATTGTTTATTTTTCCACGAGCCCGACATTGATGCGTGTTTGTTTTTTCTCGTCGCTGATGTTTCATTCATCAAAAGGGTAAGCGTAAAATAGATCGCTCGTGATCCATTAGGAAAACCCATCGATCCCTTTCAGTTTTGTTTCAACCGAACGAAAACTGAATTACATCTTTCTTGCGCCAAAGCGGTCGAGATAAGATCGTTCTATTCAGTTTCCTAACGGCGAATGACTGCAATTAGCCGTAACTTTCGTTTCAAAACTTTGTCGAAATTATTTCCTTCGTAAATTGTCACGAGTTTCGCGGTGCAATTTCGCTTAATGAGCATTTCTTCTAAAAACGTCTACTTATAATCTAAATATATACATATATGTACATATATATATTTAGATAAATATACATATGTATATGTATATACAATATATACCTATATAAATATACTACAGGTTTGTCAGTTTTCTTTTATTGATCAAAACACCAGAGCAGATTTAAAGCCATCACTCGGGAATTAGCTTTGTTATTACACGGAAATCGTGACTATCACATAGATAATGTAGTCTCATTATATATATATATATATGTGTGCGTATATATACATATAATGTATATATATATATACACATTGAAAATAAATATAAAATCTTACAGGATTTTTCTAGATAACTCCTTTGCAGTTTTCTTTTTTTTTTTTTTTTTATCTACTTTCTTATCAGCAGGTGGACGCTCCTGCGACTTGCTTCTGATCCTTCAATCGCGCCTCGATCTCAGGTCTGAAGTGCCTGATCAGTCCCTGCACTGGCCAAGCGGCACCGTCCGCCAGAGCGCAGATTGTATGCAATTCTATTTGTTTGGTAAGCTCCCACAGCATGTCTATTTCGTGTACTTCGGCATTACCCTCGACAAATCTGAAGAAAATGCACACATCATTGTAATTGTGAAACGATGAAATAAATCGTCGGATAAACTCGACGCGAACACAACTGTTTATTCTGCGTAAACTTACCTCTTTAGTATTTTGTACATCCAACTGATGCCTTCGCGACAAGGAGTGCACTGACCGCAGGACTCATGCTTGTAGAAGCTTATCAATCGAGTGATGGCCTTGATTATATCCGTCTGTTTGTTCATCACGATTAGAGCTGCTGTGCCGAACGCGCTCTTCACCCTGACAAGATCGTCGAAGTCCATCAGCACGGTGTCGCACACGCTGAAAGGAGCGTTTTGTGACTTGTTATTTTCAGAAAATTATCGTTTCGGATCGTCCGACGTAAATTTGTTTGTCACCTCACCTCTTGGGAATGACGGGAGTCGAAGAACCACCTGGAATAACACCCAATAAATTATCCCAACCTCCGATTACGCCGCCCGCGTGCCTTTCGATCAGTTCTTTAAGTGGAATGGACATTTCCTCCTCCACTGTGCACGGATTGTTCACATGTCCGGAGATGTTGAAGAGCTTAGTCCCGTGATTACGTGGACGTCCAAAAGAGGCGAACCATGTCCCTCCTCGGCGACAGATTGTCTGCATGATAAATGATATCGATAAAATAAATGAAGATAATCGAAATCACGAGAATTCTGTGTGAGAATTTGTAATACAATACGTACAGGTGACACTGCTACAGTTTCCACATTGGTAACGGTTGTGGGACACCCGAACAAGCCGATGTCAGCCGGGAACGGTGGTTTCAATCTCGGCTTGCCTTGCTTGCCCTCAATGGACTCGATAAGAGCAGTCTCCTCGCCGCAAATATACGCGCCTGCTCCTCGTTGGATAAAAATATCAAAATCGTAACCGGAATTGCAGGCGTTCTTACCGATCAAACCGGCCTGATAAGCCTCCGCAATTGCGACCTGCATGTTGGACGCTTCGTTGTAAAACTCGCCTCTGATGTAGATGTAAGCGGCGCAGGCGCCCATTGCACGACCCGCGATCAAACAGCCCTCCACAAGCTTGTGCGGATCGTGACGCATAATTTCGCGATCTTTGCACGTTCCCGGCTCACCTTCGTCGGCATTGACGACCAGATATTTCGGCCTACCGTCGGACGGCTTATTCATGAAGGACCATTTCATCCCAGAAGGGAAACCGGCCCCGCCACGACCTCTCAAACCAGAGGTTTTGATCTCGTTGATGATCCAATCTGCTCCTTTTTCTATGATTTCCTTGGTTTTGTACCAGTCGCCGCGATTTATGGCACCCTTCAGCCGCCAGTCGTGTCTGCCGTATAGGTTCGTGAAGATGCGATCCGCATCGGCCAGGGGACTTCCTCTCGTCTGTGAAAAAAAAAAAAAAAAACAAGCTGACAACTTAAAACCATTACATTTAGATCTATTGATTTTTATTTGTGCTCGCTATACTTGAGAGAAACAAGTAGCGCAAAGTAGATTTCAAAAATAGAAGGAAAAGATACGATAAAACATACAAACAAATTTAATATAGACTATCTCTCACCTTTCCTTCTGGCGCGGCATCGGCGAAAGTTCTCTGCTGCTGACTGCTCAAACACGATCCGAGAAGGCCTTCAAATAGTACAAAATTATTTAATTACATAACCTGTCGCAATAAACGCATCGCAGTCGGTTAGGATCAATCGTTCGGGAAATAACGCGCAAAAAAACACTTGTTCAATGTTTCGTCGTCAACACCGTCGACGATTCGCGGCACTGTGTTTATTTCTGATGACAAAAGAAGCTCGAAACTCACCTAATTGCCTCCTCGGGATCCGAAAACAACGCACTATGGCACCTGCCATTTTGCAGGATTAAATGTCTGTGTGAAGCGAAGCAGCTGGCTCTCAGATGTATTTCTGGACGTTCCTCGGTCGGCAAATCATATCGACCATCGACATATATAAATTGTTCTCCAGTTCTGTTCTAAGAGAACATCGCAGTCGGTATTTTTATTCCATGATGAAGATCAACAGCATTTTCATCGTCTGAGCAATAAAAAAGTGAGATAGTACTTTGTTAGATATGATAAACTCTAATAGCAGAGAGAAGCCTGGCCAGGCCCATAAGAAAATGTGTAATCACTTTTCCGCCCTGTAAGCCAGCGCAATGTCCATAGGTGGTGCACATTGGCAACTACGTAGTCATGTCCACGAGCGACTTGCTGGCGCGTGCCTTATCTATCAGAGAGAAGAATGAGAGCTCCACTGGAGCGGTAGCACGTACCTAATACAAAACAACTGATTTTCGTCTAATGTTTATTACAATAAACTTTTTTTATGTTACTCTAACAAAAAATATATCTCTTGTTAATATGCTGACTGTTCGTTTATACGTATAAAATATCTGTCGTCCAAAGATGCCGCCGATGAAATCGAAGGTATTGACGTCATTCGGCAGTGTCGTCATGACTCGAAGGTGCCGTTCGTGACCGGAGTTATTGGCGTCATTTGAAAGTGATGGGTAGTGTTACCTCGTGACTGGACGTTTTACTGAGCGTTGTTCAGAGGTGTCGTTTGTGAAATACAGCGCCAACAAGCACCTTCTCATCTCAACTATAACAATTGCTCGCCCGAAATGCCGCGTCGATAATGTCACTGTTCATCTAATGTAATATCTATTGACATATAATAGTAAACTATTGCTTTTTGAAAGAAAAGTTTGAGGAACTTCTCAGCAATATTTTTTTTTCGATTCGCACGTATCGTTTTGGTGATAGTTTTTTTTTTTTTTTTTTAATAAACGAAGATAATCCGGACGATTGACGTTCATTTTTAGCGTCAAAATGAAAAAGAAAAAAATCACACATGCGACCAAAGCTGATACTAGATAAAATGAGAAACGCATGAAAAGCGCATATTTTGCTATAATATGTATTTACTGTGTTAATTCTTATTTTGAATTTTTTCCTATGTTTAATACGTTTGTTGATACAAAAATATGTCTCTGTGTATAAAAGAGATCTCGTAAAAAATGCAAATGCAATTCGAACGGCACAAAGAGATTAAAAGATTTTTTAAACATGTCTGACAGGCATCGTTTTTTACAAAAATATGCTGTTTGAGAAACAAAATTTGTAAATCTTATTTTTGTAATAAATTATCGTGAAATCTAGAATAAGAATAAATAAATAAATTATGAGATAATTGTCAGAATTTACTCATTTACGAATTTTGTTATTTGTGTGAAAGTAAAAACGGCACATAACAAAAAAGGCGTCGAGAAGTAACTGTTTTTAAACAAACTCTTTGTTTCTAACAGTAAATTAAAAAGTGAAAGTTCTCTTACAAAAAGCTTTGTAAATTAACTTTACGAAAAGATTCAAAAGAAACTTCTTTGATAAAAACTTTGTAGAAGCTACACGTAACATGCATATCGTTATTTCATTTTTATATAGTAAATGCTATTTTATTTGAGTAAGTAATAAATTATAATATTATACAGTTTTGTAGGTTTTGCGACAATAATTTGCTTATTATAACTACATATATAAATAAGTCATGTAAAATTAATGCTCGCAGACAGATAAGCGTAGAAAGCATGAGTCGTTCGGGCAAATGGACTTTGAGCGATCAAAGATTACGGCTGTACACAAGAAGAGGTCTTCTTCTCTGGTGGAATGGTGCGTATCAAATCAGACTATCTTCGGTCGCTCAGACAACAGGAACGATTTGACAGTGAGCGGACAGTTCAGAGACGAAGAAGCAACCTTTAGAGATAATCGAAGATGTCTTTTGATCTGTTTTCGCATCCGCCCGGACCAGAAGCCAAAGCTGTAGCCGAAAAGGAGCTCAGAGAAACGGAAGAAAATGTGAAGAAGGGCCTCGAGACCCTTAAACAATTATTGGCAGGTTGGTGAAGTTGTCAGTGTTTTTTGTTTTTTTGCAATTTTTTCTATATAAAGTACGCACGTTCGAATGTTCTTAATCTCAATCTCATTTTATAAAGTCTCACATATGTTTCGAATATTTTGTTTTTGTTTTTTGTTTTTGAAGTGTTTTTGTGAGAAATATTTTGTGTGAAATTAAAATGTATGTAATGTTCGCGGCACAATATAGGATTTGTCTTGCACAATAATTTTTGGATAAATATGGAATTAATTTTTCTGTAGAACAATATCAAATAACAATTTCTAAATTAATGACAAGCAAAATCAAATATTGTGATAAATCGCATTTGTAAATTAAGCTTCGGATAAAAATTTAAAAATTATATATAAACATAAGTGACAAAATTAAATATATTTGTTAATTAATTTTTTTTTTGTGTAATAAAAATGTCTTTTGGAATTTAATTGCTAAAGTAAATAACAAGAAGTATTTTACTTCTGACATTTTTGTACAGAAAGAGAACTTTATATTGATTAGAAAAACATATTGTAAATAAATTACATTATCGTATATTTCATGTTTGTATCGTATGTTTTCATGTTTTTCATATTCAAAAATGGAGAGAAACCTCTGCCCCGTTTCAACAAGAATAAAAGAGATAAGATTTGGTAAAAATGTCACAAGGTGAATTTGTTTAAGCTCACTCCCGAAAAAAAAAATCAAAATTTCAAACTCACGCCTTTGAAATTTTTTCTGATCAATGATGATATGTTCACACAAACAAATATAACAGTTTAGAAATTATCACTCCTGATTAGATTATATCTTTGGAACCGTAATAGGTTTTGAAAAATAACAATATCACGCGATGACAATCTCTCAACTCTTGTTGAACAACTAGTGAATTTTTTAACCAATGACCTCATATTCTTTTAGATATAAATGTATAAAAGTAGTGTGTCAATCACAGACCACTAAGATCAAAGCGATGTTTCAGATATTTAAGTTTTGAACGCATAGTTCAATGTTATCGAGCAATGTTATTACATCAATCTGGTTTTTTTTTTTTTGGTACACTTCTTTCGATCAATAACAAGTATCGACAACAAAAAGTAAAATTATCTTGAAAGAAAAGGTTGTCTCGATTTGAAATCTATTTCGAAATAGTATTTGTGAGAATAACGAAAATATATTTCTCTGACAATTGTATTTTGACGTCAATTATTGCCGGAGTTATTTGGACCACTAGTCAATATCACAGATAAGCGCATTGAACGATAATGGCGAGGTCAGGTTTATGACATTCCGATAATGTTGCTTCCGTTGTGTATCTTTTTTCTCTTTTCTCCGCGGTTTTCTCGCCTCCAGCTGACAGAGATTTATTATATTCACCGAGCACAAGTTGTCCAAGAACATCGTCATTTGTAATGTCACGAGTCTCCCTTCGAAAATCGTCGTGAAGCGTTCGAGGAGACAAGGCCGAGAAAATCGGCCAAATTACTCGCTCCTCATGCGAGAAGGATACGATTAAACGTTTCTTATTCTCTTCTTCGTGACGTGTGATATTTTCACTTGTTATTTATGTCAGACGGTTCTTAATTGTCAAGCCCTAAACATATTAAAGTAAAATACTTTTAAACTGATTACTTTTTAATGAAATTACCAGCACCACACAGGCGCGCGCACGGCTATTATTTTTATTTTAATTGTTCTGTGAGTAAACACAACGTGTTACCGCGACAACAGCTAATGAATATATGTACGCGATATGAACCGAGAAACGTTACCGCATTCAATCAGCGTCGCGATAAAAATGATACTTTTCTGATCTGATTACTTAATAACACACATGTTTCTACAAGAAAAAAAAACTGAAAAAAACGTATTACGTATTCGAAATAACTACGTAATTTTTCGATGCATATTGTATAGATCTTATTGTGTAGATGTAAATTTCATCTTTATGATTTATACAAGCGCGAGAAAAAAATCCTGAACATTGAAAAATGTGTTTTTGTAAATTTTTTGTACTTTGTCACAAGCGTCTTACGTATGCGATAAAAGATCGATAATGGCGCGAGATCGATCTATAAAGTCGAGCGCATCTTAACCTTTGAATGCGATAAGAAAACAAGAGATTGCACACGCGTGATGTGCACATGATGTTCGAAGTACCAGTGCTAAGAATCCATAAATCTTCCGACTTGAACTTTTTTTGTCCTGTACAATTATCCCTAGAAATTACAAGAATTTATTTGAAAGTACAATACAAAGCTGTAAAACAATACGTAATGATTTCTGAATAAAGATATGTGAACATGTATAAATCTTATTCCTTTTATCACGGGACAGATTTATTCAATAACTTTGAATCTGTTTTCGCAAAATTCGAACTGATATGGTATACACTTTCGAAGGTGATTTGTTGTTGACAATGATTCGCAAATCGGCTTCAATCGGTTTCGCCTTTGTTTGTGATATTTCGTGTTGTCTTCACACGCGAATCTGAACGTCTATTTTTCCTTAATAAAGAGAACAAACAATATCGCAATTTTCTTAACATAAAGAGACGATTTCTTTGAGAACGCAAAGAGTGACCTCGCACGCGAAATATGAATAATAAAATGATTGAAAAATAACTTGCATCGTCGTGAAAACAATGTAAGACTTGAGAGAGAAAGAGAGAGAGAGAAGAGTGAGAAAAAAATGTTAGAACTATTCAGAATTCGTTTTTTTAAAAGATGAATTATTACAGATAAAAACAAATTGGCTATTGTGTCTCTTTATTTTCATGTGATGATCGATACTTCTTAAGATATTTGCATACATTTTGTCCGATGATGAACGATTGAACGGTGTACCTTGATCGAGTGTATATACATTTTAATGTGACAGAACGATACAAAGTCCAGGTGATTCTGCCTAGATATAAGACAAATGATCAACTGGCGATGAATCATTGTATAGTGTTGTTGAAAACATAACATCTCTCACGTAGACTACATTAATATTGCTCATCGTGCTATTATCGAGACATCTCTATGTTTCCACGTGAAGAATTAAAAGAACGTACGCATATAGCATATTATTTTCAAACAGGAAGTTTTTTGTTTTATCTCTTACGCGATAGATTAACAAAAAAGAGAAAATAAAAGGCTCTTGTTTTCACGAAATGTGATGCAAACGGTTTAAATCAGCCAAATGAATGACGTTTTACGATTAGAGGAGACCGGAGACCACTTTTTTAGGTTTGAAGTTTTGTAGACCAACTCGAGACACTTATCAAAAAAAGACTATCAAAAAATAACAGTTATCGCTCTCTTTCTCTCTTTCTTTCTCTCTCTCGTACACACAGTCTCTTCTTTTCACTCTTTCTCTCTACTTTTGTATCCTCTTTTCTTCCTTCTCTCCCTATTTTGTTCTCTTGCATTCTTCCTCTCTCCCGTTCTATTTTTTCTTTTTTATTTCAGTTTTTCATTTTTTAAATATCTTCCTCTTTATCTGTTTTTCTCAGCTTCACTTGTTATCTAGAATATAATAAAATCAAATCTCTCAGACACAACTAAATGTGAGTGTAGAACAAAAAAATCCAAGAATAAAAAAATTTTACATATGTGTATGAGTGTTCAATAATGTCACGTAATTTTTGAACGAGACACGCAACTGCTTTGACATACTACACGCACTGCCTCCGCGCTGCACATATATATAGAACACGTGTATATACCCTATCTCCGGGGTTTCGAACGTAGGTTCAATTAGTCACGACCTATCTCTACAAGCCCTTTTCCCTCGTTTAATCTCGCAAAAGAAAACATCACGCTCCCACATCTTCATGTCAGTAATCTCGTTAATGTTTAAATTGACAATAATTGGCGACAACTTATGCTATAAAATTCTATAAATCTTGATTTTCACATTTCTCAGAGGATAACACGCTGTACTTCTCCACCGATGACGAGTATCTCTTGCACCTTTTGCGGCCTTGCAAATTTTATCCGCAATCCGCGTTGGAGCTGATGAGGCGCATCGCGGACTTTAGGGAGAAGCACGCGGTGCTGCTGCACGATTTGAAGCCGAGCGACGAGAGGGAGGCAATCGTCGACAATAACATCGTGAACCTGCTCAAGAATCGGGATCACAAAAATCGTAGAATCTTGCTAGTGAATTGCGGAAAATTGTGGGATCCGTCCAAGGTCACATGCGATCAGTTGTTTCGCGTGTTTTATCTGATCCATCTGATGGCCTTAGACGAGCCGGAAGCGCAGGTATCGAACGACGCGTTTAGAGATATTATGTTTCTTTCTGAATTATCCGGTCTACGTCTACAAGAAAAAGAGAGAGAGAGTATTTCGGTTTAAACTTCGGCGCGTTCGCGCGACTTTCTGAATGTGCGAAATGAGAATCGCAAAATTTGTTTTTTGATCGAATTAAGCTAGTAAGAATTTTGTGCTAAATTAGTCTAAATATACGGAGAAGATGAAAAATTCACGTCATAATGGTTACAATGCGAAAAAAACAGAAGTTCTATACGAGTGATAACGTGGTTTACATAATTGTGCTCGTACACAATTGCAGTTTCGAAGCAAAGCGCTTAATGCTCGATCTCGCATTAATCTTGATCGATATAATAACGCTATACTCTTTACTTACAGAAACTGATAAGCGTGAAATTCGCGTAATTCAAGCGTCGATGATGATGAGATGAAAAATACGGCGAGTCTCTCTTTTGTCTGAGAACAATCTGACGTATTCTATCTAAATTATATTCTATCTAAATTGTCAATCATTTTTTCAATAAAAATTGTTTATTAATTTTTGTGAGGTTTGCAAACGTGGATTTTCACGATTGCTTGTGTTCTTGCGTTATGATCACTGAAAGAGAAAGCTTTTATCGACTCTCTATTGATATTACTCTCTTAAAGATATTTGGAGCCGCGGTGATAATGGACTTCGACGGGCTTTCGATGAAGCAAGTTATGGGACTCACGCCAGCCTTTAGCATGCGTCTGCTTTCGTTTATTCAAGACGCGATGCCTCTTCGGTTAAAAGAGGTGTGCATCATTAATTAGATTTATTTAAGAAAAAGTCACATTATAAAATTATCTTCACGACGAAAAAACGATTATTTGCTATTACACGAACATTTTAGTGATGCACACACGGCTTACACTTTCAGGTACATATAGTCAAACAGCCGTTCCTGTTCAATATGGTTTGGCAAATGTTTAAGCCGTTTGTCAAGGAAAAATTGAAGAAGCGCATGTTCTTCCACGGCACCAAGATGTCTAGTCTTCACAATTTTATTCCCCCGAGTCATCTGCCGAAAAATTACGGCGGTGAGCTGCCAGAAATAGACTACACTAGCGCAAACTGGTATCCGACAATGCTCGCTATGGAGGAAAAGATTAAAGGTGAAACTTTTTGACTCGTTGACAACATTAGAACATTTTCTGTATGCTAATTCAATTACAATAATAATGATCGATGGTATTTCGAAAAAATTTACAAACAAATGCTGGGATATAATTTATTATTTTCTTTCTCTCTCGCGATTATATAAAAATGAAAAAATAAAATAAAATATACTGACATCTACATGTACGGGCACGTGTAGAGGCATTTGTGCGCTCTTTAAAAGAGAAATCTATTTATATACACTTTTCTTCACAAAAATTACAAGTATTATAGCTTTTATAATAATTTATTAATTCTCATACGTTTTTGTTTTTTGTCTTACAGAAAGGAACGCATACGGACGCCGTAAGGAATAATATAGTAAACTAAGTGTTTAGCAGATAGTTTTTTTTTTTGTAAAAGTAATATTGAATGTTTATAATTTTTATACATTTATTAAACTTTGAAAATTGTAACATTTTATATGTACATGTATAATGTATTTATAGCGCACTTTGCATTTTTATACGTAATGACTCAAACTGTTTCCTAAGCGCAAAGCAACAAGTATTAGCGAACACAATTGTGCGTTAACGGAATATGTAAACTGTGTTATTACATTTGTAAAAAGTTTTAAAACGCAATTGTAAAAAGAAATGAGCAGAACATGTAAAATATTACATTTATATTTAATTCTTTGTATGTTATAATATATTTAAACAGTTTGTGTAAATCGAGAAACATGAAAACATACATATAAGAGATACATATAAATTCGCACGCTGTGGTCATATTTTTGTAAACATTAAAAAATAAAATGAAAAAATATTACAGTATGTATAATTTATTTAAAAAAAGAAAAAACAATATCGCAATAGGTTCTACCTATTAAGTGTCGACTCATATTTTTTGTTTTATTTCAGTTTTACTCTTAATTTAATTCTTTATTGTTATATTATGCAAAATGTTGGATTGATTTACCCCGGCTGAAGATAATTAAAAATATTGAAACTCATAATTTGTGCATTTGTTTATTTCAACATCAACATTCTGTCTTGTTCCAATTTAGTTCTGTATATAATTTATTTCTGCGTTAAAAATACGAAGTTTATCGTTCTCTTCCTATTTATTTGATACGAGTGAAATTTATTTTAATATATATAAATGTCTACGAATAAGAGTCTATATGTGTGTATATTTATTGTGTGTGTGTATTTTACAATGACGACGTCTCAAAAACCTTATAAAATATTATTATTATTATTATTATTATTATTTATAATATATAGAATATTAATATTATTTATTAAATCTCAACCTATACGGAGTTATATAAATAGAACAAATTTCCAAAAAATAATATTAAATTATTTTTACACATTCCCCACGCAGAGCACTTTATTATAAATTTTGAAAAAAGTTAAATAAAAATATATGAAACGTCATTTTAACGATTTTTATTAGTTTCACTTAGTTTTGATGAAATAACAGCTATTCAAGTTAAATCATCTTTAAGGCAATATTGTTTTCTCTCTCTCTCTTTTATTTTAATTAATAGTTTTTTATCTCACTTGTGGCGACTTCACTCTTATCACATGTACTTATTTGTCTACGTGCGATAATCGTTATCGATCGTGTGTAAGTATTAATTACTTAAACCTGTTATAAACTTGTTATGCGCGATTATAAACAATTATGTTAATTATGCTACTGTCTCTCATCCGAGCGTGACAGTATTGTTAGAGAAGTGGAATATCTTTAATAAAACTACGTACACACGTTTGTCTGTTATGCGTGAAGAGCTTTCAGACGTCTGCAATATCTGCTATCGTATCGTCGGCGTATTGTAGAAGCTAACTTCCGGTTCAAAAGAACAACTGATTACAATGCGATTTCAAACGGCATATAAAGCAAACTTTAATCGTTGCAAATAGCGTTAGGTCAATACATAAAAAATTTACCAGTAGATAAAGACATTTGCGAGAACAGAATTTTATATTTATATCTCATTGTTAATAAAGCCTGTCTTGCGCAAAATTTTTATTTTAGATAATATTTATTTTTAGAAATTATTATTTTTAGGAAATTATTTAATAACATCGTGTTTAATTTAAATTTTCAAGTTAATGTGTAGTATATTTGTATTTATACATGAAGTTTTGCAATTTTGCTTAATCGTGTAAAATAACTGTAAATAAACAAGAACATTAATTATTTTTTTAATTCTTTATTATATTTTTCTATAATTGCAACTTTTTTTGAACTAATTATTTTCAATTCAACAAAATTCAAAGATGAAATTTTGAAAAAAGTTAAATATAAACAAATTTAAAGATTAAATTATATAATTTAAGGTTGCAATTTAACTTTACTTACTGTTGCGCGTTTGATATTTATTTCAATATTTAATTCAATCGATGAATCTAGAACTTCAAGTTCAAATGTCGTACGCAAACCTGATGAGACACGATATTTAAATGTTTAAAAATATATAGATAAATATATTTACGGATATGTTCATACGACCAGTCTCTCGGTAATTGTGTGGTTGCTTCAATAAAGTGTATTTCAAATTTTTCTTGAGTAATAACATAAGTATACAATTGTGCTAGCACCGTCATGCATGGGAAATTACAGATTCCGCAATGTCACGTTCACGTAAAAGAGTGGGAAGAATCGCTTTCGAATCATTCTGCAATTGTAATTGTGTAGTTCGTACACAGTTCTCACCGGGAGTTCGAGTACTTCAGTAATAAATCTGGTCAGTCTTTCCAGATGGTTTTTTTCGCTTTTTCCATATACGACTTCCGCCATTCGCAAAGTTCCATTTGAGTTGAGAGGTGATAAAAAAGCTGATCGAAATTTATTTCTTGTTAATCTCTCAATTTTATTAATCATATTGTGTATCGTTATTATTAAAATATAAATCGTTGAAGAATTCAGTTGAAAACAAAACACACAATTCTGCGACACATTTCAAGAGCGTTCGAACATGCTCAACTTTCTCTTTTTCTTCGTCTTTCTTCGAAGATCACACACTTTATATTTTGTTCCTTAGAGTATCACACACTTTATATTTTGTTCCTTAGAGTATCACACACTTTATATTTTGTTCCTTAGAGTATCACACACTTTATATTTTATCTTTGATATTTTTACGAAATTGTGTGTAAAGAGACTTTTTTTCAGATCGTTTAAACGATCGTTCGAATAACAAGAACAAAATTGAACCTTTTTACAACGAATTTTAAGCTCGCGAAAGTTTTACAACCAGCAGATAAAGTTAGTAACATATTTGTAAAAAGATTTAGTGAGACTCTTTTAGCGCACAACTTTCCTGAACGATCCTATCTCGCTGCGAGATATTCTCACGTGTACACTTTCATTACTTATCAGCCATACATTGAACTTCCTGTCCGGAAGTAACTGGCAAGATTCTGCTCGCACATTGAAACACGTATCTACTTCCGCAAACATTTGCCAAACTTCTAAACACGATCATATTTTATTCTCGATTACGTCAGAACGCATAAAATCTGAAGATGAAATAACTATCCCGGTTTTGATTCAATTTCAAATTGTTGAACAAATATTGATGAATTTTGCGATAGAAAAACGGATCGAGTTTATCAAAAACGATTTGTTCTTTCAAGCGCAACAGCGAGAGATAATAGAAAACAATATGGGACAATTACTTCGTAGAATAAATAAATCGTTTTTTCAATAAAAAAGAAATACTTAGTTTATTTTTTTATCGCAAACTTCATCAAAACTTTTGCACTTATCCGATACGTACAAATTCATCGAAATTGCTTCAGTTTTGTGCGATCTGTTGTACAGCTTGCTTGAAATGGAACACATGCGTGTTCTCAGTAACAGCGCGAAAATTGTCACGACTTTTTTGATTTTGTATTCGTATATCACTGCGCGATAACACGGAATATAACGCGAAATATTTGACAGATCTCGCGTTGTGCCGCAATCCAAGTGAATACGCAATGTGTGCGTCCGCGATTACCGAAGAAAAGAAAGAGGAAAGTGATACACCGTCGATGTATGAGATGTACGAGGACTGGTTGAAGAACGGGCCGAAGTTGATGTTTGGCGAATTCCCACTTCTCATCGATATCTATCTCAACGATTCTGACGATTTCTTCATTCAGAAGGCCAAGGATGAATTACGGGAAACACCGGAAAATGTTGCCGAGAGCTTGAAAGAACTTCGAAAATTGCTCGCAGGTAATGAAAATACGCGTATATGTAATATAATTAGATTAAAGAAGAAGACAATTAAGTTAAGAAGACAATTAAACACAAACTCCAGTTACAAAAACAATTTTGATAATGTTTACAGTATTTGTACGTTGGCTCACACACTTCACATTACACACTAAGACTTATATACGTATATACACATAGTATTTGATTTGGTTTTGTTTTTTTATTAAAAAATAAACGCAATACAATACTTATTGACACTTATTCACGTGAACAATTCCTAACTGAGAAATCGTTCATCCGGTTTATATTGTCGCAACTAAAGTGCGAATGACAAAATATGTTTATTAATTGTGCCGTATGTTACAAAAGCAATCGAAATACTAACAATTGAAATTTAAAATTGTAATACATAGCGTGATAAGGAAACTTTATACGAGAAAGAGAACTCGTAATTCTGCATCGTCACTACAAAACTTTGAACTCTTGATTTTCTACACATCTAAAAAAATATTGGAGAAAACGTTCACGCTCCCAAATTTTGTTAAAATTTTGTACACAGTCTTTAGATGGAAAATAAATATCTTAGAAAAAGTTTTTGACTACTCTAAAGTGTTTTTGTGTCTTTTTTTTTTTAGCAGTTTTTCATATTTTCTCCGAATGAAGAGTTCTCTTGCGAAGAGAACTCTTACCGATTTCATTATGTATTTATACAACTATTTTTTAATAAGTCTTCCTCAACGTACCTCAAAATAAAAGTGATCGGTAAGGTGTAAAATTTTTTATGCAAAATTATATATCAAATAATGTAAAAAATTACAAATAGTTTTAATGTAAAAGTGAGCGAAAATAAGTTAAAGTCGATTTGTTTGTTTTTTGTTTTGCTTTATTAGAGGAATCTGATTTGATCTTACCGGACGATGATAGTTACTATATTATGTTTTTACGATGTTGCAAGTGGTATCCGAAAAGCGCATTTTCACGCGTAAGTACTAGATAAAAACGTATAAAATATGGTTAAAAGTATAAAGTATGGCTTCGAGATACTGTTAAGTTTCACTACTGTGACAATAAATTACATATCAAATATTACTGAATTATTATTATTATTTTATACAGATGAAAAGGTACTTTCACTTCCAACAGCAATATCCACATATATATAAAGACTTGTTGCCTAGTACAGCTAAACTGGCGTTATGCCACGGTTTACTTTATGCTCTGCCATTTCGTACCAACGACGGATGCAGAATATTGGTAGCAGAAGCCGGGAAACGATGGAAACCAAAGGAAGTATCACCAAACGAGTTATTCAAAGGTCTAATACTAAATTTATTCGTAGCCATGACGGAGCCCAAAACTCAGGTATGCTATAGAATATTTTTCTACATACTTTCTCATTATATGTACATACATACACATATACACATATTTATACACACAAAAAATATTTAGTAAATATTATATTAGTAATATTTTTATATATTAATACTTGTCAAGAATAGGGTTCATCGAAAAAAAAGATGATCCATGCAAATTAATCTTATGTGTACAGTTTCTCTCTTTTTCTTGTCCGAGAGATCAGTTAAATATACACAAAATCAATCAAATATACAAAAGTTTTACCGTCTTTTTCTCAGATAGCAGGTGGTCGTGCCATCTTAGATATGGATGGTTTAAGTTTGCATCACATCACGTATCTCACACCGAGCTTCGCGAAAATGATGGTGGACTTTATACAGAAATGTCTACCAGCTCGTCTCAAATCTATACATATCGTCAGACAATCGTTTGTTTTTAATATAGCATTCGGACTCTTTAAGCCATTTCTCGAGGTAAAGTTCCGCGAGTTATTTGTGCGAGTTAAATTATTATCGATTTTACACAACGTGACGATAAATAAATTTTACCTCTGTTCTGAGTGATATTATCGTTGTAATTTCAGTGTGTCGCACAATTTAGAGGAGGATCTTCTTTAATTTAACGTGATATTTTTTGCAGGAGAAATTACGCAAACGAATTTTTTTTCACGGCACAAATTTTGAGTCCCTAATGACTTCAATGAATACAAATAAAGAGACGCTGCTTAAGAAGCACGGTGGCGATCTGGAAATGCCCGAGGGACCGTATGGCGAGACTTATTGGAGATCAGTACTCTATTTAGAACCTTTTGTGAAAAGTAATCGTTTCTTTTTTTTACGTAACTCTAAAAAATCGTATATCTAATTTTATTGAGATACTAATGGAGCTCTATATTTTTTTCAGCCAAATACGGATACGTATCGGATAGCAGTAAAACATAATTACTGCTAATGATTGCGCGATCGTTATCATTAACGTCATCATGACGTTAAATGCATGACCATAAATGCAATTACACGAACACAGAAGATGCAATATGCATATTTGTGTGGGTGTTGTTTACATGTTTTTTTAATAAAATAAATGTATGTTTCGTTTATTGATATATGTATAAGAGAAGAACACCGAAATACAAAAAAAAGTGAATTTCTAGAAAACGTATTAGTGTGTGCAATTTCTAGCCTTGTACTATTGTATGTTCCGTACACATGTTTGCGTGAGTAAAAGATACAAACTATCAAGTCCTAGCATCCTAAACTAGCATCCTAGCAAGTTTTGTACATTAAGAGAGTTTATTAAAGTTAATGTTAGAAAGAACAATTGTTGTTAATGGAAAATATTGTAGTCGCAAAATTATAACCTTTCAAAAATCTGTTTAAAAAAAAATACATCCATAACACATATTAGAATTTTATTTATAAATAAAGTGATTTAAATACACTGACCATTCTAAGTACATTGGCTTTCTCGTCATTTGTTGACATTATTAAACGTTTATAATTTTATGTGACGTCTAATGGAGATTTTGTATTGAATATTGTTTTGTGTGAAATGTGATTGCCTACGTTTACAAATAAAATATCTACTACATGTAACAATTTAAAATATATTTAAATAGATATTTAAAATATCTACCACATATAATATTTTAAACTTGTAAAAATGCGATCGCAACTACTTTATATTACACAATGTTGCTAAATAATACACAAATAGCAAATGTGTTCATTTATTTACATATCTATAATTTATTTAATATTACATTATGTTCGTCAAATATTTCTCGTTAATGCGCAATTTCTTTTTATACTAAGAATATTTTTATTAAATACAATTAATCATATATATATTCATATATAAAAACAAAACTGCTCTAACGAGAACTACGTTTTGATATATCCCATATGTGTTGCGTGAGCAAAAAACTATTTTGATATAAAACTATCTATTGTTTTTCCATTCTCGAATTGATCAAGTCTATATGGAATGTAATAGTTGTATCTTGCGTGAAAGGGCAAAAGTTCTCAAATGCAATCATTTAAATTATAACAAAAACTATAACAAAAGAACAAAATGTAAAGAAACGAAAAAAGATAAGAAACCGTCTATGAGATGTGAACAAAAACAAAAACAAAATTTTGCAAGTGTTATATCTTTCTGTCAGATTCCGCGCGTAAATCCGATAACTACGTAAAACAAACTTCGAGAGAACACTTCTGTCTAATAATAAAATATGAGCTACACAGAAGTGAGCGAGGTCTGAATAATTTGCTCTTGATGAGCAAACCAAAACTGAATCGATAATAATTAGATAAAAAAATATATCATAGTTTGTAAAGTACAAGTTTTGATCGTTATCAGGACGAGATTGCTCCCTACTTCCCAGTATACCTAAGGTCCGAATTTTGAACTACAATAAAAAAAAGCAGTTAATGACAGAGAGGAATTATTTCTTCTTATAACCGTAGGAATTGATAGCTGCAACAGAGAAAGATTATTGTTTAGAACGCGCGAATGTGTTCACAGCAAAATTACATAACTAGATATGTTACACTACTTAAAAATCTCATTTAAATTTCATTTTCTACTTATTATTTAGTTCAATTAAATAACATGACACCGCTTTCTCTCCTTACCTTCGTATTCTTTGTCACACTGGACTAACAATTCGTACCATTCGGGTCCAGACACTGATATAATTTCTGCCGTACCGCCGTAACGCGCTGGCAAATGTTTCGGGGATAAATATTTGTGGAGCGATTTTCGATCAGTGCCGTGGAAAATTATCTGAGGAACAAAGATCAAGAAGAAGCAAATTTTTAAAATACACATAAAACACACATAGACATAAAAATAAGAACATTAACTCGATTAGAAAATTATTATTATAAATTATTTAATCAAAGATAAATTGTAAATTAACATTTTGCTTATTAATAACAATCAGTTTAACTCTCACCCTGCTCTTTAGCTTCTCCCGCAGGAAAGGCTTGAACAAAGCGAACACCATGTTAAACACATACGGCTGATTGATGACGTGTATATTTTTGATTCTCAGCGGCATCGCGTCCTGAAGCAGATCAACTATCCTTTTGGCGAACGGCGGTGTGAACTGCCACGTTTGCTGCAAAGTGAGACCGTCCATGTCGAAGATGACGACCGCACCGGCGATCTGCGAGGTAGGCTCCAGCATGGCAGCCTCCAGATATAAAACGCAGCCCTTATAGATCTCGTCGAGGCTGCACTTGTTGTGCTTCCACTTCTTGCCGAGCTCGAGTATCAACACGCGTCGGCCGTGCTGATCGCGATTCGGCAGCACGGTCAGAATGTTCTGCTCGAAGACGTTTCGCTCGTTGCTCGGTTTCAGATTTTCGTATATACTCGCGTGCTTTATCTTGAAACCATAATACTGCTTGATGAGTTTGCACGACTCTTCCGGATAGTATTTACACGGCCTCAGGAACCTGATCAGCCAGGCCTCGTTGTGCAGCGGAGACTTGAGATCAGTTTCGCCTGGTGAACGCGACGAGAGAAAGAGGTTCGAAATAAAATCACATCATTAGTTTAAGAGAATCAATACTTGAGAAATCTCACAAATCACGTTTGTTTTAAACGCTTTCTAAACACTATTGTATTTTTTATCCATTTTAAACGCTATATTACGAGTTTTGTTAATTGGCTCACCTGCCAGTAATTCTTTCAGACGTTCCATCGATTCCTTCTGCAACTCGGAACTTTCCCTGAGTTCCTTTCTGGCCACTTCCTGGATTTCTGCACAGGGAGGACCCAACTCGAACTGGAGCGTGAAGTCGCCGATCTTTAGCGACGGTAGTTCGGACAGGTCCGACAACAAAACATCTGAAAAAATAATAATACAATTATAATATACAAAGTAACATAAAAACTAGATTTTTCTTTAACAACAGATATACATTTTTCACAATCCTTGGTCAACTTTATTTAACACGTTCCATATCGTATACGTCCCACTCTAAACTTCCCGTTCAAGCCATTTAAAATTATCTCTATTAAATCGGAAGTTTTAAAAAAATTGTTTTGTATGTCTAATTATCAAAATACCTACGTAGCGCAGTTATCATATCGTTTACGCCCCACGCGACGTGTGACGATCATTTTTTCCGATCGTCAGCGCAAAGTCACCGAAAATCGATCCGACAAGAAACGTGTTAATTAATAAGTTAGTTAAATAATTGTGTTAATGTCGTTTTTACGAGAGAGAACGAAGTCATGCTGTCAGTATTTTAAATTATCACTGACGATGCAAGAAGGAAACTTCGCGAACATTTTTTATTTGTTTCTCGCTTTACATATTATTTCATCGTATTTGTCATGCTGTGTAGTAATAATTCTCCAAGAAGATTTAGCAAAAAAATTTATCAACTCCATAAACTCGATAACCCGACAAGAATAAATATGCACACATAATCAGTGACTAGTTGTCCTATTATATGCAATGAGTAATGCAATTGGCTTAATAACTCGCATATGTATATAGCGGTATAGAACTTCTCATTGTCGTGTCGCATTTCGTGAACAAAATCCTGGAAACGTGACTCACTCCTGTTATCGCTAACTTTCAACTCGGATAGTCGGCGTGTACTCGCGAAATTTGTATGCTAATTGTGTATGTCTATAACGAGTTTAAATATATATATAATATACACATTTGCTTAGAGCGTGCGCACGCGTTCGCTTTTGTGTGTATTTTTAACGTCGTCGCCACGTCACCGACGATCTCTCTCATTTTCTTCAATTGCTGTCACTCAGATAAAAAACAAAAAAAGAAACAATTTTATTCAATACTGATAAAAAAGCAAAAGCATCTTTATTAAGTATTTCTGTGTTTTTGTGATGTTTGTTTAAAAACTTAACTTAAAATATTTACGCATTGAGAAAAACAAAACGCACGCATATCCTGAGACTTTTGAACTTTCAAAAGTGCAATATTAAAGTCCTGAGACTTTAATATTGCATTTTCTTCTAACGCTATTTTTTTCACATCCTGTAAAAAATAAATTATGCCGTCGATGCGTTTATGCTAATTACACAATTATGGCACATGTTATAAAAGATGTTACATGTGTGTGTCCTTCGCACGATGATTAATGCGATCTGCGTTAAAAAAATTGTAACGCGTATCGAAGAACTTGTATTGACGTAATTCCTCCAGAGATATGAATTATTAATAATCAATAATATCGTCGCTAATATGATAATACACGTCGATACGCTCGATCAAAATCGATGGCTAAACAAAGGCAAATCATGGAGCGAATAAATCGAGTAATTTTGCTTTACAGTTTTTCATGTCTGCTTTTTACTCTTGTTTCCTCGAAATGCAACATTCCCCGAAACTTCTTGCGTGAAAAAAGCGTAACGCGACGATGTTACGAAAAATCTCCGCGAAACTAAAAATTTAATTTACTCAAATTTTTATAAAGAACGAGGTAATAATCGGCACGAAAGATAAAACGCATGAGTATAATGCACGAACATTTAGCGTCGGACTTTACACGTGCCTTTCGTATTGCTCGTTTCATTTTTTGTCGTTGTAAACTTTCGAATATGTTAGTACTACATATAAATATCTCATTTGTTTTCTCTCCGTTTAGTTCAACGCCGTTTCGGACAAATGAATTGTGTAGCACACAAGTACACGCGAATCAGATCGTATATGTACATACGTACGTGACAATTGCTATCAGTTTTCCTTATCGCGCGACGCATACGTTCTCGTTTAAATGCGCGTTGCTTAGTCGCGAAAGAAAACTGTTGTGTGTTCACTTTATCGGGTGTGCGAAATAAAATAAATGCGATTCACGTAAGCTTTGAACTCTCTTGCAACTCCGCGGCCGTGCAATTACGCAATCTTGAGAATTAAACGCGCTCGCAGAATATCGAATGTCACTATTAGAATAATTGCACGGTAAGATCGCCTCTCTTATTTGTCCGCGACGTTTTCGCTGCCCTCGCGACAAAAAAACGTGCGAATTAGCTCAGAATCTTAAACGCGGGGATTGCATCGCGGAATTACGACAACTCTCTCACGTTGCGATTCGATAACGCAAAAAACAAAAAAACGAGAGAGATAGAGAGTCAAAAAGAGAGAGAGAGAGAGAGAGAGAGGACCCATGAATCCCGCATATGTCGCGCGCGGAATAAATGCGGCGCACGTTGCAATTACGTGTCGAAAATAATAATTACCCGAAGACTTACCTCACAAGAACGTCCCATCCCTTCCCCTCTCCCGTTCCGTTTTTCCCCACACGCTATAATAGAAATTACGTAAAAGAGATTTAATAAGAAACACATCGAAACTACCGTGTGTATATCTGGCTGCTGTGTTACATTCGGCTCGTGTGTGACAAGTATGTGTTGACGAGTTTTTGATTCGATTTATAATTTTGCTGCAAACAAAATTTGTCGACAACCGTTGACAGCACGGTGCGCATACCGATAAAAAATATCGTAATTATAACGAAATGTTTATTTTTATATGTCAATACGTGCGTGTATTTTTATGAAAATCTCTTTAAGATAAAGCGCGATAACGTAGTCGATAATTTTCACTTGTGATAGAAAAAGAGAAGAGAAAAAACTCCGGTTGCAGAGAAGTATGTCGCGAGACTGTTAAATTTAATGTTTTCTGCGGCTGGAATTTCGACTTTTTTTATATAAACTATAATTGCATGTCGATCTCTCGTCTATACAAAGTGTTCTCTCTCTTAATGCAGAAATAGAAAAATGTTTCTTACTCTAAATAGAATTAAGATATGCTGTAAAAGTTGTGACAATTGTTCGAAAATTTGTTGCGGCTTTTTTTCGAAGTAGCAGTATTTCAGAGCACAAACTATGTATTTTGCTTTCGTACGGATAACATACATAATTTACTGCTTTACATAACGTGAGAAATGCAAAGAAAGACCGACCTTCACCGACGCAATTTCATAATTATACTCCTTCTCAATATTTCAAAATTCCACGAATTAAACGTTATATTGGTTCATTGCATATTAATAAGATTACTCTACTTTTTTCGTGGAAAAGAACTGAAAGTAGATAAACGCTTAGACAAAAAGTAACAAAGAACGCAACAAGCCTAAGAAGAATAATTCTGAACGTGCCGAAGACAAATGTGAAAGTTCAACTTCGAACGTGATTATTACCAGTTTCGATGAGATTTCTCAACACAATTTCACACTTAATGAATTTTAATTAATGTTCAACCGCACACAAAACAAGTTCTGTTTGCACACAAAACGAGATATGCAAACGGCAGTGTCGAACGCTCGCGGCAATGAGAAATCCTGCTTAGGAAGTAAATATATTTGTCATTTCTCGTAAATAAACAAAACTTAAAAAAAAAACAGAAGATTCCGTAGAGACATTCGGTTGCTGAGTCGTGTGGAGATGCTTTGACATGAATGTACACATAAAAGTTGCGTGAAAAAACAATTCGCGATACTAAAATCCAACCTATGTAAGATCCAGGATATGCTTCTCTTATTAAGAGATTTGCGTGTAATGTTTTTTTTTTTTTATCTCAGATAAAATGCGATTTTTTTTATTTCATTGTTATAGTTGAATCTCATGGCGCCGCCATGACATCACGAGATTGATTGATACTCTTTTGTTTGCCGCGCGACAAAAATAAATGGCAACGGAATATAAAATATAAATTATTAACTTTTCGAAAAAATATCACACATCCGTAATTAATTACTTGTTAGATCGCGTCGAGTTTAATTTTTGTACACAACAGATTTTTTTTTTTTAATAATCTGTTTAAGAAACACGCTCACATCAAACACAAAAAATACTTTAAAACTTGCCTGACGGAATTGTTTGAGATTAAATGCAAATTAAGCGGGAAATTTTGTTTCAAGTGAAACAACTACAGCTAATTATTTCACAGATTTGAGCACCATTTCGTCTTTTAGTGCACATTATGTGTGGAGATAATTGGATACGATATTTTTTGTACACTTCTCCGTAGGAAATTTTGTATTTTCTATTTTATTGCGATTTTTTTGAATTTTACACACATACGTCACTCTTTTCTTTTACAACGACAAAAACAAGATTTATTAGTTTTATCCGTGCCACAGGGATATTCAGGAATGTTTTTTCGTTAACTCTGTTGGAAATTCAAATTATACTTTTGGTCTAAAAGTAAGAACTTAATTTAAATTGATCTTTGCTCAGTCACGAGACAGAGAAAGGATAAAAATAATTTACTCTTTCTTATTTCGGAATTTTAATCCCTTGACATATAAAATTGTCTCGTATAAATCATGTGTTTCTTGTGCATTGTAAACATTGACGTCTGAGACGCGCGCAGATTAAGATTTTATTAATTGGATGCTAATAAGCAATACAGTGTTAACCCATAAAAAATGAAATATTGAGATATTTATGTAATGTGCTTCTTTAGCTATCAAAGAACGTTTTTCAATAGTGTTTTTAAAAACTTAAATGTTTTAAGGCGTAATTTACTCAAGATAGCGATATGGGTTGATACTGTATTGCTTATTAGCGTCGAATTTCTTGGTTATTGGTATTATGATATTTAGCAATGTATATATAAATATTACGTTCTTTGTTAATGACATAAATGTCAAATTGAAAAATAAATAGTATTTCATCGAATTTCATCTAATTCGTACATGTCAGAAATTAAAAGAAGTACGACTAATTTGTAACTATCTTTAATCTCATAAAACAATTGATTATATATTTTTTTTCTTTGTTATTTTACATTTGTCTGTATATAGATGTGTATTAATTATGTATGTATTAATATATATAATTATAATTAACACTTTCTCAATTTTATTTTTATGCAGCACAGTTTTTTTCTTTCTGTTTCTCTCTTTTTCTATCTCTAGTCTAGTATATCATAAAAATTTACACATTATGCGATAAGTTTTACTAATATTTAGAATTGTGATGAATTAAACTTACACATAATAACTACATAACAGTGAAGACATTTTGCAGAAAAATTTATCTATTTGTTGAACTAATTTACAGCGTGAAGTTATTGAAAGATACGGAGTGCAAAAAGTCGAAGAAACGTTTCTTGGAACAGTTGAAGGAGATCACAAGAAAGTAACAAATTATAAAAAGATTTATGATTAGAATTGTTGTGTTGAATAATTTACAGCACAAGATCACAATTATACTTTGTTTTTTTGTTCATAAACTCAGCTGCATTAAATGAACTGTAATACTTTACGGTTCAAGGATTCATCACAAGAACATTCATATTCTTCGTGTTTTGTAAAGTTTCGATTAACAAACGAGTTGGCAGAAACAAGTTCTTGAATCTTACATAAATTATTTATATGCGATCGTATATCATCTCTTAAATTACAGAGATTAAAAAAAAAAGTTATGTGATTTGCGTGGTGTAGAAAATTATTTAGTTGATAAAAATTGTTAATTGTTAATTGTTTGTTGATAGAAATTACGATTACGTAGTCACAACGTAACACTTTTGTAGACACAGTTTGTTTTATTATATTAGCATTAATTAAAACTGTTTGCAATGTTTATATATGTAGTTTTTTTTATTTATTAAAATTTATCTCTCATGTATATTACTTTGTTGAAATAAAATAATGATAACTTGTTTATATATAAAATTAATGTCAAAAATGTATGCAAAGTTTATAAATTCTTGCCATTTTGAAATAAATAAGATACATTATAAGTTTAATGAATTTATATGTTTGTACGTTTTTATTGGCAACGTATGTTTACAAATAATTTTATGCAATTGTAACATCTGTGTAAGTTTTGTCACTCACGAAACTAGAGTAATTAATACGCGATCAGAATCTTTCACACACCGAAGTTACATAACAAATAGCTTTGCAATATCGCGGTAATCGGCAATTGCAGTACGTTTCTGTTATAAATTGCTTAAGTGTCACGTAATGATATCACAAACAATTTTTTTCGCACTTGACAAAGAACGTGTATGCGCGAACGACGTGATACAATGACGATTGAGAATTTCAAAAATTTATAAAATAAAACTTTACTTACAATCGATAAGCAACATTATCGCAACAAAGAATTTATCATCGATATATTTACGTATGTGAATATATAAACGACACACACTTTGGCGCAACGCGCGCGAAACGATCGAGCAATGCACGCGTTCGAAAAACGAATGAAAATGCGTGCGTTGCTCGGTCGTTCACCTATCTCTTACCTACACTCTGACGTATACTAGGCTTAGAAAGTATTTGCCGACAGCATGTTGTGTCGTTGATTTAGTTCCATTCAGACTCGCGTAATGTAGGTCACAATTATATCAATATATTTGTATTTTACATCGCAAAGGTGTCGACATTGAATAGTCAAAAGTTTTCCGTGTGATGAAGTTGTGATAATAAAATTGCGATAAAATGTGTGTGTGTGCGTGTTTGTTGCAAACTTATGTATAATAAACATCTATATGAGAAGCTGCACGACTACAAGAATTTTTGCACGTAAATGAAACGGTGTTAAACAGCATATGTGTTTTCAATTATTGAAGTGTACTCACTCGGTATTATCGGACTCATGTTGATAATCTGTTGCACTCGGTCAGTTGCGGAAACAAAATCACAAGCGAGATTTTCGGATATGCATCCGGACGATCTAAGCGGCGTCGAAAAGAAACGGAAAATGTAGTCGGCATCGCATCGCAGTCCATTCTTATACGCCGTACTGTTCAAGGTCAATACGCGGTTCCGTCAAGCACAAGATTCTTTCCATCGCACGCGAACGTGACTTACGTGTAATTCTATTGCTTGCCGCTGTTTCTTTGTGGTGGATAGACAGACGGGAAACGCTGACCCGCACGCAGATAAATACAATGAAGGTTCGGTGACGCGACCAATTAATAAACCGCACGGTTCAGACGAAATGCACACGTGACATTACATATATATATCAATATCCCATTATATATATATATATATATATATATATATTCCATTTGCGGTTTGACAATCAAGTGATGAGATTATTGACGTATTGAGTTTCGTGCGTGTAATTCATATCACAATGATACGGAACGATTCACATTTGCATAATGTTTGCATAAAAATTTAGATTCACATAGAGATTTGCTTCGGTTATTATATAAAATCAAAAATATGTGCTGGGTGTATGCAATTATTTATTGTCTTTCTTTTAAACGTGTAAATTAGTACACATGAGGATTTGAATTACATTCGAAAATTTCTAAACTTATGCACAATAAATATATCAGAAGCTGCACGCTGATTACAAGAATAAAAATAATTATACGGTCCATAACTCTCTATAAGACCTTGTAACTTTGAAGTCACATACTGATACACCGATATTCTTTTAGTCTAATTTAATTTAATTACGCGTCTTCTTCTGTCATCTCTCCTTGATAACCATTGTTTATATCACAATTGTCAAAACAAAATTAACACCTTTGAAAATTGTAAATTTAATATTAATTTATATCTGGAGGTTTTGATAATATTTTTTGCTAGTTTCACTTTACATAAATTTGTTTCTACTTATGAAACAATTTGAATTTTAAAAAATTAAGCAACATGTCACCAAAATAAAACATTAAATATTTAAAGAAAAAACTTATAGATGTGTGACTTTTGGAATATAATTAAATTCTATCGTTTATTTCTCCAGATTAGTGTATAACAGACAATTGGAAAGAAAATCTATTTCTCAAAGAAATATTTTTTTAGGAGAACCTCGAAGTGTTTAACAAGTGAAATTAATTTCGTGCAATTTATTTTTAATGACTGATTTCCGTCTGTTATACAACAAAACCGAAACGAAAGAAAAACAATCAGACATGATAGTAACATCTAGAATGATCTATTGTCATGTGCTTTGTTTTATGAATAATAAAACATTTGACCTGAATGGGTTATATGGCATTGCAATTGCTATTTATTTATAATGTATCTTTTGATGTATTACCCACTGGCGACGTAAATAATTCATAGCACAACAATTATGCGCTAGCGCGATAAAATTAACTGTATTTGTCAAGATTTTTGCTATCGAAATTAAATATAATACACTTGTGTATCTCTCTATATAATTTTAGAATAAAATTATATAACATATACGCACAAGCAAACGCGAGATCAAAAATCTATCGAATAATCTCGATGTAATGAGAGAATTGTTTTTTTTTCGCACATAGTTATATACAATATAGTTACAATATAGTTACAATAATTGCTTACCTTGCGGGGCTTTTATCATCAGCTTTTCGACTGTCATTTTCAAATAGAAGCCCAAGTTGATCCAAGTAAAACAAAATTTAATTGGTCACTTTGCACTGATCAGATTGTATATATAGTATACGACTTTTACGAGTCGAAATCTCCGACTGAAATGCGACGTCTCCGAGTTGCACATGTTTATTTAAACGCTGGCGTTTCGATACGACTTTTAACGCACTACGGCGATATAACTGTCAACGTATTTATACACTGATTTTCATTAACTCTGAATTTTTCTTGGTTTACAAGTTATAATTTGTTTTATAACTTGAAGTGAAGATCAATTATCTTCAAAGATCTGCAAAAAAAAGATAAATTATTGTTTTCATAAAGTATAATTATTGTGAATTGACGTCGATGCCAGAAGAAAAATATTTTCTCGCACATTTCATACTTCTTACTTTTTGATAATTTATAAAAACTTTTCTACACATCTTTGATACTAGAAGAACTTGGAATTTTTTCAGGCTATAAGAATTATACGAGAGAGAAGCCATCTTATTAAACGCGATAAAAAAAAGAAAATTATGCATAAGGCAGATGTAAAAAAGAAATATGATATAAAAATATGTATAATTACTTATACCTACGATTTATCACAAAAAAAAAAACGAAACAAATCTCAGAACGATAAAAGGATTTATAGATACAGTTCGTATATCACGGTTGTTTATTATTTTTTTTAGCGCTATTTAAGCAAATTGCGCAGAACCAGATCGATTTATCTTTTTTTCTCTTGCGCTCGATTAATACACGTGTAATTATGTTTGTAACGTGGTCAAGATAGAAAGAAATAATTAGTGACTAAGTAAAATAAATCTAAAGATCAGATATATGCTTATAATGCTTGCTTGTCTGAGGTAGACTTAAACGTCTTTGAGGAAGTAGAGATTGAGATTTTCGTCGTGATAAACATCAAGATAAAAAACATCATCTTCATGCGTTAGCATAACAAAGAGATAAGTATATAAGTAATAAAGATAAGTATATAAGTAATAAAGTTTTGAAAATAATTACAATACTGATCAATAACGATTCGATCAATAGTAAAGTAAATCTAAAATTTTTTACGTTTTTTGAAACAAGTTCTTTCTGTTAAACGTTGTGATTATAGCCATTTGGTTTTTGCTTTGACAGAAATCAATGTGCGCTTCCGGTTGAATTCTTTATCAGATTTGCGCAACGAGGTGCTTTTATTTTTATACGCACTTACATCTTTTCTTTTTAGCAAAGTTTATTTAAATGCAGAACATTAATTTTAATTTATCACAGAAGAAAATTAAAACATGCTAACATATGCAAGTTATGCCCGGTTATATTTATTTTTAAAAACTCACGATGAGGCGTGATGTTTCCTAGATGGTTGTTCGAGAAACGCAAAATATTATATCTATGATTTTAACAATCTCAGCAATACATTCCTTTGTGTGTCAATTTGCAAACACACTTAGTGAACACATAAAATGTTGTTTAATTATTTTGAGAATACACAGATAACAGATGAGCAAAAGTTTAACCAAGAAAGATTACAGCAACATAATTGCGAAAAAAATTGATTTCACAAAGCGTCGGCAAAGTGTTATCGAAAAAAAAACATTTAATGAAACTTTTACAGATATTCAAGATATATCTACAAGCATCATCAACTTTGTATCTCGAAGCGTGCGTTTATAAACGCGCGTCAGAGTTGACGAAGAAAAAACGTGTCACAGAAACGTCACGAACGTGCGAAGTGCGGGATCTAAAGAAAAAGAAAATCAAACGATTTATCGCCCGGGCGTATTAAATCGGACGTTGATCCGCGAACGGCGGCGAAATCCATTAGCAACCTCGTTGTCGCGTCGTGTAAAAGGCGAGATCGTTCGATTTGCGACGACACGCGTACATGTAAATGTAACGTACTCACGCGCGTGTGCGTTTACAATCCTGATTCCCAGCGGCGGTGTGTTTTGTGTCTCGTGCAAACACACATCGGCCGAAGCATGTCCGATCAAGCGCGCTTCCGACTCGAGGTAAATTTAAGCGTGAGGCATTATCCTGATTCCCAGTCTCGGCGATTTCCCTTTCTACAGGTGTAGAAAGGTGTTCGATAGCTTTGCGTCGTTCAGTGAGAGTTCATGCGTAGGAATTACATAATCGCGTCTTTAAACGTGTTTATATACGCCGGTCTATACGACTCGTGTCTAGTCTGTACTACTAGACGCGCGCCGGCTTTATTTAGCGTTTGCATCAGAGATCACACGTCCAAAAAAACCGAACGTAACTCTCTCTTTCGAACTGAATTATCTCGTGCACGAAGAATGAATGTTTCTTTTGCGTGAATGGAAATACGAAGTTTTCGTCCAACGACGCGATAAAGGAGAAAGATGAAAGAACGCAAGATTGATTTTGCATCTTGTTTTAAAGAATTAGACTTGTTTGATCGTTACCCCGAAAAGAAAAACGCGTCTTTTTGCAAGTTTGATTGGAATAGAAATGTTTTTTCTTATTGTCACAAAATTTTCAGCGAGACACCACCAGCGTGCAATGAGGTCGCGATTGTCTCTGTATTTCCTTCCGTAAATAGCCGCGTAAACTCATCGCGCGATGATGCACGTAGCTTATCATCAAGATTGCACGCGAGTCTTTCTTCCTGTTTTGTCTCTCTCTTCACTGCAGAAGCTTTCATGGAGAGTTAATGTTCTCATTAAAAACTACCCGTCTCTCTCTCTCTCTCTCTCTCTCTCTTTCTCTCTCTTTCTGAGAATGTTATCTTCACAAGTCGCGGCGTGTAGCTTTCTGTGTCTTTTGCTCTCTCTTTTTGTTATGAAACTGCTATTCATTAAGTTGGACCGTGAGTATACGCCTCCGTCGTTGTTGTCGTGCGACAAGTAAAATTTTGCTACATCTGAAATTTCTCTTTCTCTCATAATCCACTCGTGTAACACAAAGATTCTTGTAACAAAATTTTGTCTTCAAAACGTCTGGGTCGTTTTGTCTTTTTTCATTTCGGAACGAATAGAAAAATAAACACGCGGAGCAAATCGGAATAAGCGATGACAAGAAAGAAAGAATCTAGTTAAATTCACGTATCTGAATGTAAGTGATTCGCTGTTATTTGTTATACTTTGTATTTTTTATTTCAACCTTTTTTTTATTAATAGATACCTTTTATTTATTGATAGATATAAAATATCACTTCCTCTCGGAATTGAGAAACGAACCAGCTCTCTAGCGAAACCAACTCTCGATTGCGAAAGCTGAATTACAAGTCAAATAAACAGTTGTTTTGTTTTTTTATTTATTTCTTTCCTTTTTTTTTATCGAGACTTGCTGACGAGAAGTCAACGTTCCAATCAGCTGTCTTGCTGGCGAGAGATGTAAATTTCAACGAGTTTCTTCCAATTCAAAAAAAAACAAACTTCAAGTTCGACTAGGACCAATCTTGATTCAATCACGAGTGCTCGATCATTCGTGACGCGTCTGTATGCTAGGCTGACAAATCACTTCGGATAGATAACTCAACCGTGTGTAACTTCGCGTTAGAATAAGAATTGATCAAAGTGAAATGCGCGCAAAGAGATAATGGTTCAATTAAAATGAAAATGCAGAAGCGCGTTTCATGATCCGTGACACCGTGATCGAGGCGTATTTCCGATTGTTAATCGGATAATTTTTTTTTTTTTTTTTTTGTTCCGTCTCGGACTCGCGATTTTATTATTGTATCGATTCCCGCCGAGTTATGATTGCCAGATCGATAACACATTATATATAGCTCGCAGTAGAAAGTAGCGCAACCCGAGCTCGAACGATCAAAAGGTACTTCGCGTACTACTACGGTAGTTTGTTTTCCCGCGCAACGCGTCTCAACGAAATCGTGTGTGTCAGTGACATTCACGATTCAATGATCCTGTGAGCGAAATCGTTTTCGCGGTGATTTGATGCCGAGATATTTTGCCGGAAGTAGTACTGTATATACTGTTAAAAATTCCGGTGATATCTTGCCGGCAACGCGCTGTGTGCGCGTGTGATCTCGAGAAGTTTCTTCTGGAAATTTCAGTCTAGTATAAAGTTTTATTATATTGTTATTATGTTATATACGCGCAAATGTTTTTTTTTATTGTACAGTAACCTAACATATTTTAATACATGTGATTGTTTACCGTAAAAAAAAAAAAATACTGCCAACAAACAAATAAGTAAGTAAGTTTTATTATAGTTTTGATATTATTATATTTAAATGTATTTATTTGTGTGATATTGTTATTCTTAATTAATTATTTATCTTGTTAAAATGAAGTAATTACACTTGTTACACTTCCGTATAAAATCTAATGATTACAAAAATCATCGCGACAGTGTAAATATATTATTTATAGCGTTAATAGCCTTGCAAATTGTGACAATCGCGTTTCGCTATATATAATCGTTGTTTAAGTTTTCATTTATCAATAGATACAATGCGCAAAATTCATTTATCAATAGATACGATGCAAAACATGCACACAGATCGCGTGCGTCAAATCTAATTACAGTGAGATTAATGAGACGATCTCGTTTCGCGATTAATAAGTGTTGTCGTCGCGATCAATCATACTTCTACGTTCGGATAGCATTTCCAATTAATTAGTCATTATCATAAAATCTCTAGAAAAGTTATCGGTTTTATGTTTATTATTTACATTAGAGTCTCGCAATAGTTATTCGATGTGCAGTTAGAGAGCGAAGAAGTTCTCATTGATATCTCTTTATAAATCACTCTTATAAGATAATACATTTTTTTTTCTTATTTCTATTTCCGTTTAGTTCGTCTATTGCGTTTACACATTACATCAAAGTAAAGATAAGACGATTTTGCAAGTAAAAACATTACGTAACATCAATATTTTGCGGCAAAATGAGGTTTACTTACGCGCGTTCGCGATCTTATACTGTGTACACAGGCCCGCATCAAGACGATGACGACGACGATGACGACGACGATGATGACGATCGCTGGATGGACATACGCGATGCGCGAATAACTACAACCGGTACTCGCGAGGAGATACTCGCCGAGTTCTCCAGGAAGCGTCTGGACCGGTCGGAGTTCATATGACGACCCTTCCAACGCGCTTTCGGTGGAAAGGCGATTGTACTCACGGCGGTCATGCAACTTTCTCGTTGTCGTAGAATCGTAGGTGCGGAAGAGGTCGGAAAGTAACCAGACTTGCTTGTAGTCGGTTGCACATCGGTCAGTATTTGCAGGATCGCTGTTCGGTAAGGATCGCGCAATCTGGTTCACGATCCCGTCCGCTTCCACGTATATTACAGACGCTCGGCAGACTCCTCTTTTCCAGTGAGTTGTCATCTATTTGCAATTCGCGAGCCAAGATTTGAAATTTCAATCGCGTTTCACAGTCTCGTCTCGTTCTCTCCGTAACGTTATTAACAATTGCGCCCGATTTTATTTGCAATTTAAATTTTTGACCAAAGCTTCGTGAATTTTAATTTTTACAATGTTAATTTTACAATCTTGTTTTTCCGAGAAACAATGTTTTCTTCAATGCGTTTATAAAGAGAATGATATACAGAGAATAATATGATGGTAACGTTTGGTGTCAAATAACTTCTGCATACATTTGCATATAAGTTTTGTACCTATGTATGTAAGAACTTTTATTGTCTAATCTTATGAAGAAAAAACCAAGTGGAAATAACTATGACGGCGCTTTTCGACCTTGGTCTCGGCGCGTTTTTTTATTTGCTGAAATCATTGTGAGAGAATCAGTAAAATGCGTAAAAAAATGAGAAAGAATCGGTCAAAATTTATAAGTGAGCGAAAAGTATTGAGCAAAAAGTACAAAAAGCATCACGTAATATCGTCTATAAATAATCTCCGCAAAAACTACGTCCTTCGTTTGTTACTCGGCAATTACATAACTCTGTTGCAATTTGTCGTAATATAATTAACATAATTTGCAATAAATAATGAGAAGAAAGAATGACCATGAAATTAACGTGACAGACACCGACTTTGACATTATAGAGATCGCAATATGTTTTTGTGTGTACAAATTTATATTTAGAAATGTTAACTGATTGATATTTAAAATTGATTAGAACATTTGTTTATAAGTCAAGTTAATAAAAGCAACTTATTTCATTATATATTTTAATATCTTAATATTAAGGAATTATTTTAATTATAAAAATGATATTAGAGTGAGAATAACGATTGTAAAAAGATTTTAAGTGTAAATAAGATTTAGTATCGGGAAGATTATTTAAAAATTTAAATTAGTTTAATTTCCTCGAAAGTATAAGAGTTATCAAAATATTTAAGTTAATATTTCATAATTTTTTTTTTTTGATATTTAAATTATAACAATGCTAACAAATTATTTTAACATTTAGAATAAATTACGTTACTTTAACAACATGACAAAAATAAACAGACTTCTAAGAAAAGTGTTTTACGTCAAAAACTTTTTGATACTTGAATAACTGACGCAAATAAAGTAAAAAAAAAAGAGAAAAACATCAGATTTAAATAAAAATTATAAATAACATAATAAGATAAAAAAACAAAACTGACCTCTATGAGAGGTCGTACGTTTTAATTTAAATTTTCCGACTTAGACACGCACACACACAAACACTATGTAAATAAGATAATTAATTCAACACTGTTCGAGATCGAAATATAAGCATAAAAACATTTAATGTTGTTTTCACAACTTGTTCAGAGAGAAGATATCAAAAGCGAGTAAAAAAAGCTCAAAAAACTCTCGCGCAAAAAAAATCCCTGTGCGGTAGTCTGACACTTATGAACGTTACGCGCGAGCAGATGTAGTTGCATATTGACAGGCGTCACATCGAAATCACAATCTCGAGAATTTCTCAGGATCGAGAGATTGAGCGAAACAGAATTTCGGTCATTACTTTTGTCAAAGATAAAAAATAATGCAATTTTTTCATTCAGTTGCTCATTTCTTGCCGCAAGAGAAGATCCGGCGTGTCTTCGTAGAAATATAGTTTTTTGCTCGACGAACGTACCGAACCTCATCGGCACGACTTTTTTACAGAGCGATTTATCATGCTTTCAAAGCTTGAAAGATTCCAGCCTTACCCACAAACGTAAAACCCAATTATGATTGTCGATATGCGACGCTCGAAAAAACAATTTATGCATAACAAAATTACAATTACTACTTTTACTCGAGAATATTAAAATCGTTATTTCAAATTGTGTTTTTTCAAAAAAATGTTCCAAAAAAGAAAACAAATAGCAACAACACATTCACGATAATCGTGACTTGTGTCACAGCGACATTAGCGCAGTTTTTCTTGCAATTAAAAAAAAAACTACGTATATATTGGGAAATCGTCGACGCATTAAACACAAAATGCTTCAAAACTTTCTAAACCGAAAACATGTTTGCTTTATCGTTTCTTAGATATAATGTTGTAACATCGGTATTATACACACTTACACACACACACACAGAGTTGCGCGCTCCACTTTCAGTTCGGTACAATGTGCATTCTTTGATGGTTCGTGAACGAGAGTCAGTGATGAATGCACGTAATTTGCTGACGCAATACTGAATAATTCTCGAGGACTGTAAATTCTTGATGACCGTCGATTGAAAAGTAAAATGTGCGCAACCAGACACACGCGGCAACGTGTTACCGTGTTATTAACTGTCAAGCTGAACAGAGAAAGCGTCAACATGTAGCGTGATACTTAGTTAAATTACATCAGCGAATTACATCGTTCCATTATCGAGCGATTCTCGGCACGAAATATCATGATCGATCACGTTTCGTTGCAACAAAATCGACGTGCGATTTTAACAATACCGCGCGCAGAGACACGTAGACATCTTTTGTGCGCAGTTCGTGTGTGTTCCCGAAGCACTGCTCGACACCAAACGTGTTTTGACGAGACATTTCGCGTTTTACAATGTGACTTTTGAGTCACGAATTGAATTTTGATACGATCGGAGATTGTATAAATTCCTATTAAATCCTTTTCATTTCCATCCGCTTATTTTTTGCACGACGCGGCGATAATTGATCCCGATCGATCAATTCTCTATTGATCGACAAAGAATAGACGTCTTTGTTCGATGACGAATTCGGTGCGTCACGGCGCATGAATAAACAATAGGGGCGTTTAAGCAAAATCTGGTCAAATATCGGAGTTTCAGATGTAAATTATTGACAAACAACAAACTCATTGTTCGTTAAGTTTTTTCGAACGCACTCGAGGAAAATGATGACGACGCACGAATTTGCGAAATTTTAATTAACGCACTTACAAAATCTGCACGCTTACGGAGCGTTGCGCGCGAAGAGGATTTTATTATTCTCGTTTTCTAGAATTATATGTCGCGTGAAAGTTTTTCTCCGATTTTTGTAAAATATTCACGTTATATAGATGCGGTTCGAAACCCGTTCCGCGCGCGCAAGCGATCGCATTATACTGTATGTATATATCTACATCAAGCAGTTGTTAGTGAAAGCGCTGGACTGTGCACAGATGCAACAGGGTGACCCTGACATATTTCGCAATAGCACGCCAATACTAGTGCACCTTGCAAGGTGCAATATATATCGGCGGTCAGTAAACGGAAAAAAAAAAAAAACAGATTGCTAGAATAAAGCAAGAAGAATTAGTTACCATATGGTCATCGAGAAAAATTTGCTTTCGTCGACGAAACAAAAATTCAGAAAATCCAACAATTTTTTCTCGCCGATTCTCTTACGTACGCGATGAAAAACGCGCTGCTTTTTGATCGTATCCGCCGTTCTTCCTAAATTTGCGGTCTAAAGTGCCAGACCGCTATGTACAGGCAGTCACGTTCGAGCCGAGCGCAATTCTGCTGAAAACCGCATTATTACACCGTGTGACTTTTCACTGTTGCGGCACAATGAATGACTTCATCGGTTCTGTTGTTCACATCGCTACACACACCCACACACGTGAACGCGTGTGTACCGACGAGTACATTGCAACTTATGATTATAAGCAGAGACGTAACGTTGTGCGTATAATGAGGTTTCTCAAAGGTAACAAGCACGCTGAGTAACTTCTGGGGTTGCGTTAGACACGTCGGTAGCACGGATTAGCCTCGGAAAATGTGTACAGACTTTCAATAAAATCTCGCATACCCGATACTCTTCGCTCAGTTTCTAGAAGGAGTGGATTTATGTTGCGCGATTTTTGTATCGTGCGCGCTTGATGGATTTTGCAAAAGATTCCACTTTGTAAATCTCGGTGATGTAGTTGAAGTGTCGTGAGTGTATATACGCGCGCGCGCGAATACTCGCGCTAAAAACTTCCATTCGTTGCCGTTGTACAGTATTTTGTGAAGTTTTTCAATTATGCAGGTTTGTTTAACGATATATATTTGACCATGGTTTTTCTTTTTGTAACAAATACCAATGTTCGTGACAACATTAAATATCAGAAGACAATATTTTTATATTATTAGACTTTTAAAATTACACAAATATTTTTTTATTAAATTTCATATTTAAAAATTATCGAGTATCCATTTTCTCTCTTTCTGTCTCTCTTCTTTAGACGCACACATAAAATCAAAATTTGTATCAGAACAATTAACAATAGAAAAAACAAAGTGAAATGATCCGTTACATAAATAATGTTGCTCGACAGATAAACAATTACTATGCGTAAACTATGAAAGGAGATTGTAAGAAATGTCAGCTGAAAAAGTCTAGGAATTGAAAAATGTTTTTTTTTTTTTTTTTTTTTTTTTTTTGTTAATTACATACATTTGCGACGCTCGCATCTGGCTTCGAAGTTAACGCACCAATAACTTTGTGAACTGTCTGTTGGCTCCTTACCCTCACACGAAAGTTTTCAACCGACAGGTGAGGGATAAGATCGGCGGGTAGGGAGAAAATTTGTCTTGCGAGTCGCATGTCAAGTCTGGCCTCTCACAACGAGGTGTACCGTGTAACCAGTTGCATCATCGCCACGATTGGCACGGCGAGCAAACAGTATTCTGTTGAATCTCGTAAAAATCTACGTCACTCATTTAAACATTTTGTAGAAAATAATCTTTCCTGTTGACGTGAATGTAAAGAATTGATGTGTGCTTTAAATTAAACAGAGAAAGAGACAAAAAAAAAGTATCACACTTTACAGAGTTGCTGATTCAACTTTGCAAAAAAAAAACGTTATGTAAATTACTTTACAATATTATGTATATGAGTAGACAGAAATACACAATATGACGGAAGCAAGAAAAAAAAGAGTAATCATGGTATGAAACACTCGCTCAACACTTCAATTTTTTGCAACTAATATATCGATCAGACAGAAGATGAAACTAGTGTGTTATATAGTTTTCAATCGCGTCATTACACAAATTGCGTTTCGCGGAATATGCGCGAAGCGCGTTTTCAAACCATGTAAGACCTGATCTGAAACAATGTGTTTCTTCGGCAAGTGCGTTCATTAAGATTTAAAGTACGTATTAATCTCGTTACGCGTTTCTCGTGAAAAAAATTACTAGTACCGAGACACGCAGGAAGAGGAATTGATGCAACAAACAAAATAGCAACCGGACGTTGGTTTTGAACGGCAAAAAAGGCGTGTTTTATGAAGGTGCTGGTTATTGCGCAACGAAATCATGAAGATAATACACAATTATTATATTGCGTTTCGCTCAAAAAAAACAGCTAGGTTTTTTTACGGTAACACACTATGACGCATCTGCACATCACGATCGCAATTGACATCGCGATACAGGAACGTTAAAAAAAAAACATTACAATTTATTTAATCTATTTTACTTGTAATTTTTGTTTTTTTTTTGCAAACGCCGCGAGTATGTTAATTCAAAAGATTAATTTTTTCAGAAAAAAAAAAATTGATGAGTACCTCGCATATGTATGAGACATCTTTGCGAGTAAATTTGCAACGCGTATTATTATGCAAATGTATTCAAGATATACATGTTTTGCAATGGTTGATAATTAGCAAATTCACGTTTGCACTTTGTATTATTCTCAAAGATCGATTCTAAACCTCTCGAACTTTGCGTTCTTGCAAATAAACAATTTCGATTTGCACATCGCATTCTTAACAAAAAAAAAAAAAACGTTTTTTTCTCCATGATCATGAATGTTTCAAGAAGACGTTTAAAAAACCAAATCTTTCGCTTCGCCACGTGCGGCGCCTAAACACGCGCTGTCACAACGTACACATACGCAGACACACGTATACGCACATGAATATCCGACTTCTTAGCGAACATGTAACGTGTGTATGAAGACCGGTAGAAGGAGGTTATCTAGTAAAACTGGAGGCAGACCGCCGACCGATGGTTGTGCGAGTGCCGACGCGATTCGCGACTGAATGACAAGCGCGCGATTTCGCTTTCAGACATATACGTACGAACGAGCGACGATCCGTGGAACCGTGTAGATTTTAAATGAGGAGAGTGTGGTATATTTCCGATCTTACCTTTGTATAATGCCGCAGGAAAACGAGAAGACCGGCAAGGCCGAGTCGTGGACAAAGGAGCGCGAGAACGACGCAAAAAACAATCACGAGGATCGAGAAATCCTCGGTAGAAAGAAAACCGATGTCGTGCTAGAAGAGGATCTGAGAATTCTCAAAGACGATATGCCGGAAGAGTTCACAAACGATCAGAAGCTCCTGGACGACGAGCAGATTCGTCTGGATTTGAGCGAACCGTCGCCGGATGTGATGGAGTACGCCAGGAGGGAACTCGGTGAGACCGAGGAGGTCAAGTGTCAAATGCTGCAGGAGCTACGCGACATGATCTACGGTAAATTGAACTGTCCTCAGTCTGAGATATCGATTAAGTGATCGTTGAGAGACTGATCAGATAAGGAATGTCAGATTTTATCTTGTCGTTTGAGATTTTAGTTACTTTTTCTTTTTCTTTTTTGTGACAGAGAGAGGCGAATGTCTGCCGCACAGAATGGACGACGAATTTCTTATCAGATTTTTACGCGCCAGGAACTTCAACGTCAAGTGGACACATAGGCTGGTGAGTTTTGACGTTTTATTAACGAGATGAATCGCAATAAGAGAACGAAGCAAATAAGTCCCGATTAAGCGCAAGCCGATCGAAAACACAGTAATTTAACTCCGTAATTCTCGTAAAACATAAAGTAGAATGTAGAATTGAGCGAAGTAAAAACAGAATTTGCATTAAGATGTATTGCGCTTTATTTTAAACAAATAAGAATAAAACAAATAAGAAGATAATAATCTTGAAAACGAGACGTCTCGTTGTTAAGTGTATAGAAGATTTGCCGAATGAGAGTCACTGTAACGATTACTTATCTGAGATTTTGCTCGGTGTTTCTCTGTAAATTTTCAATGTCATTGGGAAACAAACTTATCTTGTTTTGATTAATACAATTGGATTTAGTTGCCGTAGTTGCGTCATTTTTTTTTTTTGTAAATAGAAGAAGAAAGATAATTTCTATGTTCGATTATCTTTCACTTTTAACCTTTTTATACGCAATCTCGCAGAGAGATATAGTATCAAACGCATAACTCTCAATTTCCAAAATAAAATATTTAATTTGCAACTTATTCGAATACGTCAAATCGTCTTTAAGATTTGAACTTTTACCAATCACTAATCGAAATAATAATTATATATAGGTAGAAAAGAATGTTGTACACAATTACACGCGAGGTAAACTTGTTCGTTCATTGCACAATTATGTCAAGGTGAATTAATCTACGATTTGAAATGTTATAATACGCACCGCGTTAAAGTATATTTAATTAATTTACTGCAATATAGAGTATGTAAGATTAATATATTTTAATATTTTATTTGTTTAAATGCAAGTATGTATCAAAAACTAAAAAAAAAAAAAGAACAATACACCTTTAAACAAATGTTTTTCAACAGATTAATCTTTTTATGCAAATTTAATTTGAGTCATTAAATACTGAAACTTTTTGAACAAATATATATACAGCAATTTATTTATATATATTCATTTTTATTTTTTTGTCAATTTTTTTTTATACTTAATGACTCAAGTCATGACTAAGTTATTTTACTTATTTAATATATGGTAAATATTTTTTTCCGCTAACTCACTCGTTCAATACAAACAACAAATAAAATAATATCGAAGATGAATTTTAAAGACGATCTGAAGGTCTCGTGTGTCTCTTCTAATATTAAGGATATACGAAAATAATCTAATGTACGGTTACACAAATTAATGGAGCAAACGATTGAGAAAACTCAACCTTCAATTCGGTCGTTCACTCCATAACAATCTTGAACCCGTGAAGTGATTCTCCGTGAGATCGGCCTCGCAGTATTATCGCGTTTGCGTTTTATTTTATAATTATAAATGTAAATATGTTTACAATTTTACAAATATATATATAGTTTAGAAATATATTTATATATAATTTATTAAATTATATATATATATATATATATATATATACATATAATTCGGGATTACATATAATGGGATTTCTGCTACGCTCTCGAGCGACAGAGCACAAACTGATTTGTTTTTAAGAAATTTTTTGATAGATAGCGAATTACTACACCTTCAAAGAGGAACATCCGGAGCTGCATCAGCAATTAGGCCTGTCGCAAATGAGAGCCATCGGCGAGGACGACGTGATCACAGTGCCACCTTACAGAACCGCATGCGGCAGACGAATGCTGATCTACCGTATAGGCAATTGGGATCCGCGCAAATATCCAGTCGAAGAACTTTTCAAGGCCACGATCTGCGTTCTCGAGGTGGGCATTCTCGAGCCCAGAGCCCAGATTCTGGGCGGCATTGTTATTTTTGATCTCAAGGACATCACCATGGCGCACGCGTGGCAAGTAACGCCTCAGGTACACAGTCGTCGAATTTTTACGCGAGAGAGATTATATTTTAAATTAGATTTTACTTTATCAGAATCGATCGAATAGACATTATGAGAAAAAAAAATTTTGTTACAACTTATAAGTCTTTTAGTGCCCATATATCTTCAAAAAATAGAAGTACTAGAAAAAAAGGTGAAAAAATATAGAATTGTTTATACTTGCGTTTATGTCATTTTTAGTCGAACTATTTTGACTAGAGTAAACTAAATATTTAATAAAAAAAATATTTTTTATATATTACACTATCGCACACATACACCACCGTATGGATGCGTGTTATATTATATTATTACAATTTAATTTGCGCATATTAAATTGAAATATATTTGAATGTGAAACTGATATTAAATCGTAAAACGCATTTTGCTTTTCTTCAGGTGGCGAGCTTGGTGTTGTCTCTGATGGTGACGTCGTTTCCCATGAAGACGCACTCGTTACACATTCTCCATCAGTCGTGGATATTCGACGCGATGTTCGCGGTTTTCAAGCCGCTCATTGACACCAACATGCGCAACAAGATATTCTTCCACGGCAACAATTACGACAGTTTCCACGAGCACATCGCGCCCGAGTACTTGCCGAAAATGTACGGCGGCGTGAGAAACGAGGTGCCCTACGACAAGTGGATCACGTCTCTGATCAAGGATCCAAAGGTGGTCGAACAGATGGACAAGATGGGATATATCCTAACTGACGAGATTCTCGACAACTTCAAGGAGTGAAAAAAAATCACATTATCGTTCCGACAATTCGGGGGCTATTCGAAAATGCGCGTAAATTTTCCCTTTCTGCGACACGTCGCTGCGATCATTACTTAGCGATTATTATTTAGCGATTGTTATTTAGCGATCATCAGCCTGCATTGTCCTTGCTGTCATTATAGCGTCCGCCTATTTTCTACTTCGTTCTGCTATCTTATCGAACATACAGCATTATCCCAATGAGCTTTGCACATTTATCGATCAATTGTTAGAAGTCGATAGTGAACACTTGATTACAAACGTATTCCACGTATTGTTTGAAATTTTTATGCTATTTATATTGCGTTATATGTGTATCTTTTGATAATTAAGAAGCTAAAAACTAAATAAAAGTTTTTTTGCGTAATAATTCAAACGGATCGATCTCTATCACCCCCCGTATTAAGTTGTGCAGGCCGCGAGCATTTCATGCCGTATCCGGCGCCAAAACACAGCATAATGCACGCCGATAAGGATCGCCCCGTTGTGTTTCTCTCCACACGCGCGCTCCCACCTGATGAACCCGCTCGGCTATTCTGGCCCCGTGCCCGAGTATAGAGTCCATCGAGACTTGATTTCCTTCTCGCAATTTATCAAACGCCGCGATCAAAACGCCGCGACTATCGGGAAACAATTCGTCTTGTATTGACACGCGCCCGAGTTTATGTTTGATAGACATTGCGCCGTGCTCTATCGATCGGATACAATTTATTTTTTTGTTCGTCGTAATCGGAGTAAGAAAAAGTCACGATCATGACTCAGAGCCAATCGAATTACTCACGTTTTCTCATGAAGATAAAAACGCAACGAACAAGCTGATCTGCTCCGGCGGCAAACAAAACAAACTGTCGCGTAAAAAGAAAAAAAAGAAAAGAAATCGGACAAGCGGAAGGAAGAGACGGTATTGACCATCGGGGTGTACTCCGGAAATCTCGTGGTGTATTTATATATTTATAGTGTATTTATATAGTCGATACGAGAAGAAGTGATCCCGACGTAAAAAAAAAGATGAAAATGGAAATCGAAATTTTATATAGACACGAGGTTTACGAAAAAAATTAATTTGTAATATTAAATATTACGATTTTCCAATTTTATTTTATTTTATTTTAATTGTAATTGTACGAACACATCTGTTAAACTTTTTACAAAGAAAATGTGTCGTTTATTTTTACTTGAGTTATTTTTCACTCAAAACTCATATGAGCTTCGTACACGACAGAAAATATTTTTATTTCACGTTTTTCGATATATTTTTCTCCTAGAGATTATCTTTTCCGTCTTTTTATTACGACTTTCGATACATCCTTGATATTGGGAATTCACCGAACTGTCGGTCGTTGAGAATACATCACATCGCTTTCCCAAATCAATATCTCGAGAATTAATAGTCGGAACAGCTCCAACAAATAACCGCTTGTTCGCTAAATTTCAAGCGGAGTTGCGATAATACATCAAGAAGAGGATTAATGAACTAACGAAGCGTGGAGATTGTAAGAAGATTTAATGAGATAATCTTGCAAAATATGTAAGCAAGGGTTTTTTTTTTAAAAAAAAAAAAACCTCAAGAAACTTTCTCGAAACATTTTCAACGAGAAAAGGAACAAAGAGAAAAAACATTCGCGAGAATTATCACCGCGGAACAATAATTACGCGTAAAAAGTACGATCGAGCGCGCATTGCGTGGAATAACGATTAATAATGGCTCGTGTATAGTCGGTGTTATTTTTTTTTATATAAAAACGGAACAAAAACTTACAAATGACTAATGTTTTAATGATAAAATACGTCGGAAGCAAAAGTGTATCTCGTTCCACGAAATCGTAATAAACGTTTGAGAAAGTAAACGACAAACACCGCGCGCGGGGATATGATATCGTGCCTTTCCAGACGAGTACGTTTAAACACAACTTTGTTCCTAATATAGATTTTGATATCCTAGAAGAGGAACCGCGAAACTGTCGGCTTCGCTCTCTGTTACTAAGAAAATCGACCGAAAGAGAGAGAGAGAGAGAGAGAGAGAAAGAGAGAGAGGGAGAGACGCTCCTAATTATAATTTTCATTCATTCTTGTGCGCCGAGATTATTACATTGCACCTCCAACCAACGCGTATAATCGCTCGTAATGTTCATTGAACGTCCGCACAGCTTCAATCATCCGCGAGTTGATTGACCAAGAAAATCCTCAGACTGAGTGGAAATCCATGTAACCCGAAGTGCTCAAGTGACACGAACGAGAATCCATTGTGCTCCTCGAAAATAAGAAGAAACGGACTCTTACTCTCGGGTATGGACCCCGAGATGGGATCAGGCGATTTCGCTCGCGAGATGCGAAGGGGAAGAAAAGAGAAGAGAAACAGAGAAAGAGAGTGGTGTCCTTAGTTAGATCGGTGAATATGTAGATAGGAGAGCGTGAAAGGAGGCGTAGGTAGGGCCTGGCGTCAACTGCTGGGTTTGTGGTGGTTGGATATCGACCCGGGTCGGAGGGTCGCGTAGCCAGGATCGCAAGGCGCACGCCTGGACGCGGCAGAGGGTGGCCGTGCAACGAAGACGAGGGAAACGAACGAGCGTGCGCGGGCAACCGAGACAGACGGAGATGAATAGACACGGAGGGTGACGCGGAGGGTGGCGGGTGGCGAAGTGCGCGGGCGAGGTGGCGGACTGTCGTCGTATATATGTGCCGCCGGTCGGTCGTGGAGGCAGGTCGTGCAGAAGAGGTAGCAGTAACCCGCCGGTAGTAGCAACCCGGCAGCTGGCAAGTACACCCCGCGCGCGGGTGTGCGGATGCTGCACACCACCCGAGAGAGACTGTCACTCGGCTCTCGCTCTCGTGTCTGTGCGTGCGTGTGTGTATGTGCGCGTGTGTTGTGTGTATGTGTGTGACAAATGTGCGTGAGCGTGTTCCGCGGATAACAGCCACCCTCGTCGGCGTACTCGGGTAATATTTTGGGACACACACGAGTCGCATCCCCGCGACTATTTTTTTTTTTTTTTCCGGTTACTCGCGACGGTGCGATCCGTCCGATAACATCGTCCGAAAACCTCGACGAGGAGGAGGCGAGCGATCGAGCGGTGAAAAAGAAACGTCTTCCCAACATCTTCGTGGGCAATCTCCATGTGCAACCCCGAAGAGGAGGAGAAAAAGAAAGACGTGCTGATCGGTCGATCGTAGAGGAGAAGAAACGCAGAGATGATGCGGTAGGGAAAAAATTCGTGACTCAGGTGAACGTGCGAGTGTGTAGGTGTGCAGGTGTGAAAAACGACGACGACGACGACGACGACGACGACTAGGACGTGTTCTAGACGACGGCGCCATGTCACACCGACCGGTGACGAACGAGGATTCCTACCTGAGCTCCGGACGGCCGTCGAACCTGCTGCGTACGAGCTTCAGCAGCGCCCATCTCGAGAAGCTGTACCGCGCCTCGTCGCTGCAGCAGCGTCGCGGCGGCTTCACGTGCTTTCTCATGTCGGCGATCCTGTACGGCGTTTACACGGTGATTACGCCGGGTCTCGAGCTGACTGCGCGATGCATCGCCATCGGTTATCTGAACATCAACATCGTTCTGCTGGTGCTGGCCGAATGCTGCACCCATAGGGTCATCAACCGGTTGTGGTCGGTGATGAGGTGCTGCATCGGTCAGTACTGGATCCTGCACATGTTCGCGCAGATGCTCTTCAAACCCGGCAGAGTCACGCCGAGGGACGGTCTCGCCTGGATGTTGCTTCTGCTGTACCTACTGTTCGCCGCGTTGCCGTTGAAACTGAGCCGTTGCGCGACCCTCGCGATTTACAGCGTGCTCGTGTACTTCGTCGCCGTGACCGGTCTCACCTTCACGCCGGAGGAGTTCAGTCTTCTCACAAATCCGCCCGTCGACGTTCTGGTGAGTAACAGCTCGAGAGAGAGAGAGAGAGAGAGAGAGACGGGGAGAGGGAAAGAGGAAGGTGGTCTCTTCCTTCTGACGCGTTGCGTGTGCGTTCGTCGATCGGTTCTCGGATATGTCGAACGGGGCACTCCGAGAGCCATCGGAGCGGGAAAGCTCGAGAGCGAGTTGTGGGGAATTTGAGCAAACCCTCTTTCTTGCCCCGCTCGAGATGGTGCTCGAGAGAATTGGACGGCGAGAGTTCAAGCGTCGTTGACAGGCAAGGAGTAGACCTTCTTCAGCTCCGCGGACGCGTAAAGCACTTGTCGTTTAATCAATGCGCCAAGAGAGTCCTAGTCCTGCGAAAGCTCGCGTAATCCACGTGACCTCCTTTCATTTATAGCGCCCTACGGAGTTATTAAAAATAACTCGAATACTCGCGCATATACACCGCAACGGTCTATATTTAATGTGTCAGTCCCTTCATCGGCGCCTAAAAACGGCGGCAAACGAAGCACGAGCGCGAAGATAGTCACGTCGATATCGTAAGAACGAGAGAGAGAGAGAGAGAGAGAAAGAAAAAAAAATGACGACGACGCGGTCGTCGAAACGCGAGCGATTTTTTTTGGGGGGAATTCCCGACTCGTCGTCTTGCGAAGTCGATATATCGCGCGACGGCGTTAAATTGAAAATAAAGCCAGCGTGTTAATTGCGTGCGTGAGGGGCGCGAAGCGTTTTCCGATACGCGCGGAGGATGGAAAGCAACGCGGTGTCGCCGACGCCGACTTCGACAAACTAATTCGCCGTCAACCGGCGACGCGTGCACGAGATCGATCCGACATTTAACGAAGCGTATCGCCGCTGTTTATATACGCGTTGTTATATATATACAGCCGCGGAAAGAGAACTGGAAATTTGATATTACGTTCTTTTATCGTGAGGATTATCCTTTGAAAAAAATCGAGGTTCAATAAAAAAAAAAAAAGAAAGAGAGAGAAAAAAAATTGCAATAAAATATTTGTCTGTAAAGATAACGCGATTTTTCAAGATCGTCGTTCTCGGACAAAGAATCATTTTGACGTTGAATTGAAAACTTACAACAAGTGTGCGAAGAGAGATTTGTTTCGACGAAACGGAAGGGAAACGTGTATTTTAACCCACGCTAAATGCGCGCACGCGACATTTATTTAGCGTCACTATTAATTGCAAATTCCGTACTATTTTTGGTGATAACTCTTGACCTCTCTTAGCCAGACGCTATGTACTTTGACGTTCACCACGCTATGCAACGCTACGTTTATCGCGCATACATCGCGGTGAAGATCAAGGACGCTTCGCAAATGAGTCATTCTTCGTTGATGCAATTTTAATTAATGTCATTCGATAATTTGCAACGATTCAAGTTCGTAAAAAGGTTTTCTTTTTTCTTAGGCAACAATAAAATCGATCATTTTGTTAGTGTTTTTTTTATTGTTGATTGTTACTCTCTTGTCTGGCGATTATATTCTTGAGGAAGTTCGATGACTATTACCGTTATTAGAACAACGTAACTTTATTCGATTAATCTAATGGATGTGGCAATTGAGTTTTATACCATCCGATAACTCGCGTGACTCCAATTCGTTTTTTTTTATAAAATATTTTTTTCCTTCTTTTTTTTACGTAATTACGAAATTACTAAAAAATTTCGTTAGCTTCGCCAACGTACGTTCGAGTTCTACGTTTTATTTCGATGCGATCCGGGAATTTCGTAACAATGATTGTTACTCAGTAAGACGGCAATTTATCCGAGTGTAATGTAAAATGGATGGATGTGCAATGTATTCCGAGTGTTCCGACGCGAGAGATCGATTTGCCATTTGTGTGAAAATTGATGCGATTCGCTGTGTGCCCATCATGCAGGCCTCCGTTATCGATCGCATAGGCGCGCGATGTAATATCATTGTTTAAAGCGATAACAATGCTGCTGCTGCGTGTTGTAAAGTTAGTCGTCGTATCTCTCGCCGACGCCTTTGTCGACGCCGACATTGGACACCAACCGCTAAAGTCAAACCGCGCTGGTTCGTCGCTCTCTCACGCGGTTTTTCAAGTGTGCGCGCGTACTCAAAACGTACATCTACGATCTTAATGAGAGAAAAAGACAGTTCGGGAAAACATTTCGCGCGGCGATTTCCGCGCGCGCGCGCGCGCATCTCTTCGCTTATCTCTCTCTTTCTCTAAATATTTTCTCTACAATCCGCTCGATCGTGAAGAACAACATTATACAGAGAATTGAAACGAGAAGTTTATACGCTATGTGAGTTCAAGGACTCTTTTCCTGTCGATTTGTTGAAATTGCGGTCGGTGTGCAACACACACAGTATCTCTCTTTAATTCGATTGCTCGATTCTTTTTCACGACCTCTTGTATATAATTTTGCTCGCGTTTGCGAAAATAGCGCGAATGAAAAATAAAATCCCGTCGTCGTTTTACCGAAAGCTTTACGCTTACGAGGACATAAAATATGTTTTTTTCTTTAGTCGCCGATAATTCTTCGCCACGATAGGTCTTTGACGTTTTTTCCACGTCGGGCGCACATGTGGAGCGAGATATGCGGAACAACACCGACGCGCGTTCGCCAAAGCGGGAAATTTTAACTGATAATTGGCTTCATGACCTATAGAACGGAGTAAACAATGCAGGTGCATCGGCCGAGGCGTGCGAAACTTTCGGCAGCGAATATCGTGTGAAAGCGAAAGCTTGGAAGTAGACGCGCAGCACGTGGATCTCTCTCTCTCCTGTCGTTAGTAACACTCGAGTAGAGTTTGGTCAATGGTAGTTTAAAATAGAGAGAGAATGCGAGAGACGAGGATAGAGCTCGTGTGTAATAAGAGCAAAATAGAGTGAACGAGAAGAAAGAACGACGAAGAGAGAAAGAGAGAGAGAGAGAGAGAGAGAGAGAGAGAAGGACAAGAGCACGCGCAATGATGCGAGAGGTTGCCTTTCGATGCGCGACGCTCAATGCTTTTTCACCGGCAATGGTGACTACCTGTCGGCAACACGCTGGAATGTCATCCGGAAAAGTGACCTCGCAATATCGCGATATCGACTGCGTTTGTTGTCTTCGTCGACGAAAAAAAAAAAAAAAAAAAAAACAAAAAAACCTCGCGTTTTCAGCGTCGGCGAAGAGCTTTCCAATTTGCGTCTATTCGCGTCGAACATAAGCGCGACATATAATACAACCGTGCGCGCTCTCATTCTGTGAGTTCGTGTGTTAATTAATACAGTTAGTTTGTAAAAAATACACGTGTGTGTGGAAATGTATTTCTCGCACGTATATACGCGGCACAATTTAATTTTAAAGCGCGCTGAAAAAATATGTGTGCACACACTAATTACGCTGTTTTTATTCGAACGAAGAAAAATCACGTGGTGACACAAAAATTAGAAAAAAGAAAATGTTTCAAGAAGAAGTAGGCGAACGATTCCGTTCAATTAAATTTGAGTAACGAAGTTACCAAGAGACAGACGTATTAACGCTCGTTGGCTCGGTTTTAACGTTTATTAAGAACAAAAAAAAAACGCTAAAAACTCACACCGTCGGATTTCAAACATCTCAAGTATCATAAATTTCTTATTCTGTCACAGTCCGAGCGCAAAGAGTTATTTAATCCGCCGACTCTCGAGCCGCGTCGGCATAATTATATCCGTAATTAAATCTCGCGACGCGGGATTTTAATGAACTCGTTGTCGCCCAATTCTCGCTCGGCCGAGCAACGCGGCGACTTCGCTACACGCGGATGAAGGACTAGATGAAGAACACTCTCGTAAATCAGTTTCGTGAAAACGTCCTGTAGATCCTGACGGTGACGCTCTTTGCCGGCGCCGCTATTATGGGCGCTTGCAGCTACTTCCTGGCGGAGTTCCAGCAGCGCCGGGCGTTCCTGGAGACCAGGCAGAGTCTGGAGATGCAGATGCTGATCGAGGAGCAGAGCGCGGAACAGGAGCGACTGCTGCTCAGCGTCCTGCCGGAACACGTCGCCGTGAAGATGCGCCAGGATCTCGGCGCGTCTCTCGACACGCAGTTCAAGAAGATCTACATGTCCAGGCACGAGAACGTGTCGATACTTTACGCGGATATAGTCGGCTTCACCGCGATCTCGTCGACCTACAGCGCCAGTGAGCTCGTCAAAATACTCAACGAGCTCTTCGCGCGATTCGACCAGCTCAGCGAACGGTATATTATCTTTTTCTTCTTGTTCTTATGGCTTGTTCGTTGACGTTGTTAATAACTGTGTTAAGTTAACGATACGCGCGCGTGTTGTAATAAATAAATAAACTTTATCTTACGCCAAACACACATCGCGACGCGCCGTCACAACGTGTCGTTGGAATAATTCGCTCGTCGAGATGATTATTAAAAATTTGTCCTTTTTTTTTTGTTAAACAAACATACATTTATCAACTGTTGTTTAAATAAACATTGTTTCGCGCTTTTGTATATTTCATCTAAATAAATCAAGGATACTCTCAATGGCATTTCAATTAAACGATTATATCGCTTTTCATCGTGTATTTGCGTGTACCTACATACGTGCTTCACGTTTGGAATTTATCGATCCTGTAAGAGACGTACATCACGCACAACTCGAAAGAGAGAGAGAGAGGCGGTGTGTGTGTTCTAGGTCACAGATTTGTATCGGGGAACACTTTAGAAAAACCTTGGCTTATTTCGGCTTGGAACTTAATTTTCGAAATTATTTAGAAGGTTAGAAAATCATTGGAATTGTTTAAAACAACATTTGCAATACGGACTCGTGTGTGTTAAATACTTTTTTTTATAATTGTTTCTTTTTTTTTTTTTTTTTTAAATTCAATAGGTCAAACGTATTATTTATCGAGTCTGTCCTCCACGAGCGCACAAATTGCGTCGTCGCGTGCTATCGAATGTTAATCGCAAAATGTAATTCGAAGATGAGACAGCAAAATTCCGTGAACGTTCCATTTCCGCCGGGGAATAACGAAAATTGCACGATCGGCGGGACGACGAAAATTGATTCCCATCAGCCCCCGAGTTCGCTTCTGCCGATTTTGTCTTCGGGCCATTCCGTGCCTCCTGTCGCAGGGGGTGGGTTCCCTGCGACGAGGACACCACGAGGACAATCGATATCCCCGGGAACGATTTTCCCGTTGCCGTCGTCAAATGCACTTTGCAAGCTCGCGCTTTTCTCGCACGTAACACCCGTGAAACGTTCGCTCGCTTGTTTCAAAACGCGATTACTTATCGCTCCGTTGTTTTCTCTCACGAAACTAAAACAATTCTGCGAAACGTGTCGCGTTTTTCTTCGCGTCAAACACAAACGCGGAGAAGAGTAACGCGATTATTTCGAATCGCAATTTCGTAGATACGAGCAAATGCGCATCAAGATCCTGGGCGATTGTTACTACTGCATAAGTGGCGCACCCGTCGAAAGGCCCGACCACGCGATCCTCAGCGTGCACATGGGCCTGTCCATGGTCGAGGCGATCAAGTACGTCCAGCAAACGACGAACAGCCCCGTCGACATGAGGGTGGGCATTCACACGGGCGCGGTGCTCGCCGGTGTTCTGGGCCAGAGGCAGTGGCAGTTCGACGTTTACAGCAAGGACGTCGAACTGGCGAATAAGATGGAGAGCAGCGGCAGAGCCGGGTGAGAAGATTTCAGAGATTTATTTATCGCGAAATTAAAACAAAAACAAAAAAAAACACAAATTTTGTAAATTATATTTTTCATTTTAATGTAAAACCGCGCGAGACACAGTATCTTGATTCGAGAATTAAATTAATAGCGTCACACTTCGCGCGTTCGTTGACAATTTTGTTCGCTCGTTTTTCTGTCAAACTTATCAGCGTTGGTGGTTTTTTTTTTTTTTTTTTTTTTTTTTAACGCAATCGAGCGTGAAACGTGTTCTGCGTGATCGTTGCAATGAGGTCGCGTCTCTCTGCTTGTGTGTCGAGTGCATAAATAAATAAATACTTGAAGGAGGGTACACATCTCGAACGCGACGCTGAGCTTCCTAAACGGCGAATTTGAGGTCGAGCCGGCGCACGGGGAGGACAGGGAGGAGGCACTTCAAAAAGCCGGCCTTGTCACTTACTTTATAGTGAGGGCCTTGAAGCCGTTTAAGCCGGCGGTGACGAAGAGCCTGGCGTCGCTCGCGGACGTCGAGAACACGCAGAAGACGATGGAGAACGTGTCCGGCAAGAGAAACAGCAAAGAAGACTCCGAAGAATTCCAGCAGCGTTTGAGAAAGAAACTCGACAGCAAAGGTGAAACATTAAAAGTAAACGAACTTTTTGCCGAAAAAAAAAAAATGCCGAGATTCAGAAAACAACGTCAGAAAGAGGAAGTTAATCGAGTTAAGGATTGTTTTACAATTTTTCACAGCTTGTTACAAAAAATACAAAATACTCAAAATAATTCAAATATATTTTCGTTGTTTTGTTTTTTTTTTCCACGCGTTTTTGCGATAACCAATAAAACTAATTAAAATACCGTGTCCTCGAAACGTTGTTTTGAAAAAAAAAAAAGTGACAGACCTTCTCATCAATCACGTCGACTTTTTTTTTACCTCCCGTTCCACTTTAAGGGCTAAAAATCCGCGCATGCGTTCGCAAAGTGCCACTTTCATCGGGTTGCCGTAACTATCGACGCGGATACTGATTACAATCGACGCTCGAGCGAGCGTGCTGCTGCGTTGATTAACGTCGGAGCTACGCAACAAGCGCGGAGAATTGCGAAAACGATCTTTTCAGAGACTTCAAGCAATCACATTTTAATTACATTTGTTCACAATTACATTTGTTTTACACATCTCTAAACTTTTGAGACGAGCGCGTCGAAAATGTATCTGTCGGACAATTATTTCATTTCTCAAGGTGTCGTCTTTCAAATCCATTAAGAGCTTCTTTTCGGTTATTTCTTGGCACGTCAAAAGAAAAATACACTTTCCTCAAGGATCGCCCGATGACAAGCCGGCGCTAATCGCCGGACATCCGGCCGTCCTTTTAAACGAGTCGACCCTAAACGTGACGTCAGCGCGTTAACGACCGTAGGTGGTGATATTGACTTGGTCGCGCACATCTTCTGGTGGAGCCTGAAGTTCAAGGATCGCAACGTGGAGAAGGAGTTCGTAAACGTCGAGGAGGCCTTCTCGCCGTTGTCGCTCCTCGGCGGGCCTCTTGTGTTGCTGTGCGCCGCCCCGGTCTGGAGACTGATGCCCTGGGGACCGTTCACGTGGGGTGGCGTCGGGGTGGTCACTCTTTTCGCCGTTGTCCTGGCCGGTGCCACTTGTCTGAGCAGCTCAATCAGGGCGATGTGGCTCAAATCGACCCTCGCTCTTCTCATGATATTTTCCATCTCCATCTTCCTGATCTTCGACATGGTGCGGAACTTTCATTTGCTACCGCATTAGTTTTACATTATAACATTTTAGGTAATGCGACACAGTAAACAAATACATCAAGTATTTTTTTACACATTTTATTCGCATTAGTTGCTTTTTATTTATTTCTCAGTAATTTGAAATACACCAAAAAAAGCTGAAAGATGTGTTTCAATTGTTTCGATATTTTTTTCAAGATATAAAAAAAAAACAAAGATATTTTGTTGACTTATTGTTACATTTTATCTGTTTTGTTTGCAGGGCAACTGCGTGTTCATCGAGAACGAGGCGCCGTCGAACACGTCGCTGAACACCTGGTCCCCGCGATGTCCTTATCCCTCCTATTACTCGTACATCGGCGTCCTCGTGCTGATCGCGATCTCGATGCCGACGTATCTCTGTTACCTGACCAAGGCTTTCCTCATGTACGTCCTAGTTGGCATGCAATCCTACGTCAATATCGTGCACTTCGCCTCTCACCTAGACCGGGAAGACATGACGTCGAATCCGTACGTGCCCCCGTCGAAAATCTTTCCTCTGAAATACATGCTGTCCCTCACGCTGGTCTTCGTCGCAAACGCGCTAATAATCGTGGCGAGATACGTGAGTATAAAAATACGAAATCTTTTTGAAAAGATGTTTGTCTCTTCGCAGCGCGCGAATATCGCCAACATTTTTCCCCTCGTTTTTTACAGCAGCGAAATGCGAATAAAATGTCGCGAATATGAACGTTTTTCGCGGAGAGACGTGAAAAAAAAAAAGAGAAAAAAATTTGCGCGTGTTCGATGAATATTGACAATGATTGATCGTCACGAACCTTAACGAAGAGATATTTACGTTCGGCCACTTTGCGTTCGTATAAATTGATTCGTGACGAGTAGCATCACGTGAGAGAGAGAGAGAGAGAGAGAGAGAGAGAGAGAGAGAGAGAGAGAAAATAAAAGAGCTCGCTTAAACGATCTTCCAAGCGCGCGCAAACGTTTCGATAAAAGACACAGGCCGATTCTCACGAGTCTCAATATCCAAGTCACGTCGAATCGGATATCGATAGAAGGATCGAGTGTCGAGAGAAGCCAAGAACTCGAACCGCGATTTAAAGTGACGCCGCACAGCTCGACTTTAGACGATTTGTAATTTACGACGAATATTACGGGAACGGAATTCGAAAAACTGAATTGTATTATCTTCAACCGTGTGTGGCAGAATGATATGAAAAATCTCCTCCTCAAAATGTTAACTTACTGAGCGAGCTTAATCTTCTTTTCTTCTCTTCAATATTGAAGAACAATATCCCTTTTATCAACGAGAGTAAGTAATGCGGCAAATCTTTTCCGTTTAATCAACCGCGGTCGTATTCGGTTTTGCATATATGTGAGGAAAATACGCCGCCTAATTTTCCCGAAAATAAGCCGGTGATCGGCGCGCGCATTGAGCATTAAATTGAAATATAATCCATTTGCGGATATCGGCAACAACGGGAATTCTAAATCGAGAAATTGAACCTCGAGCAATTTGCGATTTTCGCGATTGAGCTTTCCGCGACGTTCTATATACATATATCGTATGTTTACTATTGAACGGTGTCGGGAAAGCAATATCATCGGAATTTTCATTCCCGACGCGTTTCGCGCGATTGTCAAGCGAACACACAAGTCGCAGACATTTTCGGAAACAGCTCGAATGACGGCGCTTTTAGCAGTTTACCTTATCGAATCCAAGTGTATCGAAAATTATTTAAACGCGCAAAACATTACCGAAATATAATAGTTAAGTTCGCATCTTGATCGGTTAGGTACACATCTTGACTGGTCAGGTTCACATCCTGATCGTTGTTCGAACATAACATACGTACGATATGGCTACGTAAGTTGCCAATGTGCAGCATCCATGGACATTGCGCTGGCTCATAGGGAGGAAAAGCGATTACACATTTTCTTAGGTCGCTCTCAGTCTTTTCTCTGCTATGCCATTGAAAAGAAAGATATTATACATAAAATTCGTCAAGTGTTGTAACAAAAAACGGATCAAAAAGTTTTGCCGAACGAAACAGCAATTGTTTTTGTATTCTCTCAACGGTTATAGGCCGAGATCTCGCGAAGGATGCTGTATCTTCGCGGACGGGAAGTTATCGCTCAGAGGGAACGTGCTGCGGACATGAAGCGAAGAAACGGCGCGCTGATATACAACATTCTGCCCCCGCATGTCGCGGCGTACTTTCTGTCTCACGCGAGACACTACGACGATCTTTACAGCCAGAGCTACTCGGAGGTGGGCGTTCTGTTCGCCAGCATGCCGAACTTCGCGGATTTCTACAGCGAGGAGAGCATCAACAATCAAGGCCTCGAGTGCCTCAGGTTCCTGAACGAAGTCATCTCCGACTTCGACGCCGTGAGTTGTTCACATTGATGTTTTCTCTTTTGTTGATTTCTTTCGCAAAAAAAAACCGATTTTCTTTCGAGACGTTTCTTCAAAACCTGTTTTGCAAAATGACATACTCGTGTTATAGATGAAAAAAAAAAATATATATGTATAAACAACACAAATGTTTTTACGGAAAGTATTTTTTACATCGTCTCTTCTTTCAGATTCTCGATCATTCGAACTTCAAGAACATCATCAAGATAAAGACGATAGGGTCGACCTACATGGCCGCCTCGGGAATTACCGAGTCGGCGCAACCGGAGGACGGTCCCCGGTGGGGTCATCTCGTCACACTCGTGGAGTTCGCCCTCGAGCTTAAGAAAGCTTTATCGAGCATTAACGAGCAGAGTTTCAATCACTTCGTCCTTAAAATGGGTATCAATCACGGACCAGTGACCGCCGGTGTCATCGGGGCGCGAAAGCCCCATTATGACATTTGGGGTAACACCGTTAACGTAGCCTCGAGAATGGAGAGCACGGGGAAAGTCGGATGTATTCAGGTGATAATTACTTCACGCTTTCTCAAGTTTTCCTCGCCTTTAGATACGATTTTCTTGAAGTGGAAAGATGGATTGTTGACACACACACAGACACTTCAATTAAAATTTAATTTACTTAAATAATTGAAAAAGCGAGGAGGATGTAGCGTGCAATTTAATTCGTAATGAAGTTTAATTTAAAAAAAATTACAAAATACACTTTATTACACGTGCGCGACATGTAATTTGAAGGTTTTTTTTTAAGTTTTTAATTATAAATAATATTTTTAACAAAACATACAAATGTATTTGAAATAAAACTTTTTTTTTTTTTGCAGGTCACGGACGAGACGCGCAGGATATTGGAGCCCTTCGGCTTCGGTTTCGAGCAACGGGGTCTCGTTTTCGTGAAGGGCAAGGGACAGCTCTTGACACACTATCTTATCTCCAGAGATGGCGTCTCTCTCGACCTCGACAGCGATCTTCCCGTCGAACCTACCCATCCTATAATTTATCAGTAAAATATATTTTCAAAGGCTCTAAACAGGAATATCGCACTTTTCTCGGATAAAATAGATCTGAGAGGGGTTTTAAAATGTATGTTACTATCTTCCTCGAAAAAAGCTGTCAGACCGGACGTCCGGCAAGAGCACCCTGACGTCCGTCCTTAGTCTCTTCCGAAACGAAGAGCAAAAGCTGACGCACCACAAACGTAAAAAAAAAAAAAAAAAAAAAATAATAATTATACCAAGCGAGTTTTCCTCAAGTATGTTCGGCATGCTAAATGTATTGTCGTAGAGAACTCTCTAAATGTTATAGCATTCTCGTGTTTCTCAAAGGGAAAACGAAAAAAAAAAACGAGATTACGCGCGAAGAAAGAAAGAGAATGTATCGTCGTGCGTCGCCATCAGTATTCATCGTAAAAGTAACCAAACAATGAAGAAAAGACGTAGTTGCCGAGTATGCGTTCTCGCGCGCAAAAAACTTGTAAAACACACGCGTGTCACGCGCCGAACTCGCACAGGGTAAATCACAAAGTAAGTAGATGTAGAAATAGAGCGCGCGAGAGCACCGAAAAAAAAAAAAAAAAACGGTATATATTTCAATGTGTAAATAGCAACACATTTGTGGAAAAGCAAGTTGTATTGCCTAAAAAAAAAAAAAAAAAAACGAGAAGGTAGTGCGTTGTAGATTCTAATTGCAAGACGAATGTTGTCGTCGGAAAATGAACGACGGGACACACCGTCGAGCAACACACCGTCTCTCTCGAGGATTCGAAATAATAAATAAACAGACGTTAATCACTTCGCACACTTGTGCGCGTGATGGTGAGAAAATATTCTAAATCCATCTTCGTTTTCTATTGCATACTGATGGAACGGATGCTGAAGTTACAATACGAGAACCGAAACTTTCGGCGGATTCCGTTGGTTTCGATCAGTGTCGAATTCTCAGACGCGAGAATTAATTAATTAAACATTCGAAAGAGCCGTATCGCATATCTCGAAATAATTCCTTGTCGATTTTCGCGCGCCCGATTCGTCACCTCACGGCTCGTCTCGGGCACACTTTGAGTTTTTTTTTTGAGAGCGTGGCCGATGGCGATCGGCGAGAACACGAAGATGATGCGTTCGGCGCGCGAAAAACAATCGTCGAGGCGGTGATGCAAATTTGTGTCACTTTGCTTCAAATTTATCGCTATTTATTTGTTGAAGGTGTAATTGACATTGTTTTTGTAATAAATTTAGAGCAAATGTGACGTTATCACATTCCTCTCGGTGGAACGAAGTTTCCTTTTCACACTTTTGATCAAAATATCATAGCTTCGTCGACGCGAAAAAAAAAAAAGCAAAACATTTGAGAAATAGATAAGAAGTTTGTTCTCATCGCGTCAGATATCGTTACTGACATATATACATACATATATCTATGAAAAAAAAAATATATATATTAAATATTTTATCTAATCAAAAGAACAGACAACTTGAACGCGGACGAAGTCTCTCTTTAGGAACTTAGAAGGAGAACTTATTTATCCTTTTCCGGGATATACGTCATCCGCGTGATAGAGAGCGTGTGTGCGATATATATATATATAGATCGAAGACAAGTTTATATGAAACGGCGGCACACTTTTAACAAAGGAAAATATAAACAGTAGAGACTGTAAAATGTGTGTCGTGTAAAAAGAAAGAAGAGGAAAAGGAGAAACATCGCCGATACGGTAGTAACTTATTTTTCTACAGTCGCCGAGAGAGAGAGAGAGAGAGAAAGAGAGAGAGGGAGAGAGAGAGAGAGAGAGAATTTATTACATTCCAAGACAACTCGAAAATGCAAAGGTAATTGGCATAAAAATGCCTTAATAATTGCTAGATCTAGAATTATTCAATTATAGACAATTAGGAGGCGCGGGTAAATTGTATAGTTACTCGCCAATTTAACGTGTCTCGATTTTTCTACACGACAGTAAAATATTCTAAAGAGTACTCAAATACTTTACAGTCACAAACAAACAAAAAATGCACAAAAATTTAGAAAAAATTTAATTAATTAAATTAGACTAATTGTAAGCATCCGAATAAAATCACCTCAACTGACTCTACGTCTAATAATTATTAAGGCACGTTTTTACGCCGATTATTGCACGAGGAAGCTTAGAAAAAAAAATCACTTTTCTACTAACTCTTTCGTTACGTACGACGGCGTACACGAATCTCTTGCAAAACGAACGCAAAGATGTTTCCTTGCGCGTAGTTCGGGAGAATAGTGCTACACGCTCGTTTTCTTGATCGGGCTCGTGTAATATTCGTGCAACAATCCGAAAAAAAAGAAACAAAACTCGCGATGTGCAAATTCGCGGCCACGTAACGAGAGGGTTGCGAAAGAGAGAAAGAGAAAGAGAGAAAGAGAGAGAGAGAGAGAGCGAAAGAATGCATGTGTGAGAGAGGGAACAGAAAAAAATTTGAATGCGAAGACAAGTAGGTATCGGCCTAAGCGCAGAAGAAGTTTTGTCAAACGCAGATCACTTCATTCGCAGAGTGAAGCGATATACACTTCCAGATCGTTCCACGAATCGCGTACTTCCATTTCCGGCCGGTTTTCTCGCCCGTGTAATTAATCTAGCGTACACAAATAATACACACACAAACGAACAACAATTGACATGCAAAGTACATGCAAATGAACACATGCGCATACGCACCAACGATGGACACGCGCACACCGATGTACACGTATGCAGATAAGAGAAATTTTCTTGTATAAAGTAGCAATAAACGGATTTTCGCGCAAGTGTACATTTCCGCGATCGATCAACATACATATACGCGAGAAAAGTGGACAGATCAGAAGGCAAGATGTGCGCGAGCCTTGTATAAAAAAAAAATAAGCGAGTTGAGAGAAAATTTCGAGAGTTGTTCAATGTTTTTAATTGCAATTATTTTATCTTGTTTTCACATAGATCAGAATTCCACCATTTGTTTTTACTTCGATCAAAAAAAAGAGAAGAAAATGTCGTTACATTTAGTGGAAGAAAAAAAAATTATTATCCCGTAATTTTTACTAACATTTTCTCTTAATTTGTTTATATCTTTTGTTAACACAGGCTCGTCACGGACAAACGACAACTACGTTAAACGCGCAAAACGATGTGAATATAACTGTGTATAGTTTATGTAAGAAAAACAAACAAATTATATCACTGTTGATATGTTAGCACACTTTTAATGTGAGGCGAGGCGAGAGATAATAGAGAAAATACATCTTTGTAAAACTTTCGGTGACTTCCTAAGTGCGACGAGGTAGGCGCGCGCGCATGAAAAAAAAAAAAATTATAATCAGAGTTACATGTGGAAAAATTGACAATGAGAAACCCCAGAAATTCCTGTGTCGACAAGATAATAAACGGCGTCTTCTCCTACGACTATAGATGATGTATCCGAGACAAAAAAAAAAAAAACAAAAAAATTGCGGAAAAAGTATTATATTACACACTCATCGTTACACCGAAGATATGTATTGATTTTTCGATTGCTGATTGTTTAAAAATGTAAGACAAGCTTTAAACTTTAAAGATAAGACAAGCGAGCATCTCACACACACACATAAACACACACACGACACTGTACGAAGTTAGTGTATAAAAAAAATAAAACAACAAAAAAAAACTACCGTAAAAAGTAACATTGCAAGCGTGGCCTAATAAACGCTGTGTTTCGAAGTCACGAGTAATTTAGCACGAAAAAAAACTTGTGAAAAAAGAGAGTAGGCAATAAAGCGTTCCGTTCGAAACTGTGTGTGGTTTTAGATTATTCTGTAAATGTTTTGTATAAATAATATGTCTGTGAATTTCTTCGTCAGAGCGCGTTCTCTGATGCGGAAAAACTCTTTCTGTCAACTTTCAGTTCGGCTGTTCTCCGATGATTGAGGAATCAAGTCCGTCTTTGTAAACGTCTTAGGATTACGCCAGTCGAAGACACGAACAAATGTTTTAGTGTTATATAAAAACATAACATTAAATATCTTTGTAAATAAATTTCGAATTAGCGATCTGTGAATTTGAAAGTAAAGTGAAATTGATGGGAGACCAAGGCTTGGGTTTTTTTGTGTCCTCTAAAATATATACACACCTGTTTCTCCGTTTTTTATTTATACAGACGCACGCGTATTCGCGTGTAGAGACAAATGCGAAGAACAAATTCAATTTTCAAACACAAAGACCTAAGATTTAGAGAGACCGCCGCAGGCTGGCAAACGTTTCGGTTTATTGTTCCTTGTTTCTTCTCTCGCGCGCGTCTCGACGGAAAAGCAATTTATCACGAAATAAGAAACGACTGCAAAAGAAATTAAAAAGTTTGCGAAATGTCGTATTCAATTAAGACTGAAATCTCGAAAAATCTCGAACGTCTCCTCGTTTCTTTTTTCTAAATTTGCATAATGTGAAAATTCACGACGTGTCGTAAAATTTTGAAACGTAAAGAGTAAAGAAGGTTACGCCAACAATCGCATCTTTTCAACAATTTTATGTAAGGAATCTTTGTTCATATATTTTGCAATTTCACGTGGTTTCGCTTGAAGATCACAAAGTTTTGAATCGTGAAGATCGATTTTGAAATTTGTCGTCGCACGATTAAAGTCGCATATTAAAAGGAAATTAAAGAAAGAAAGATTTTCTTCCTTATATACATATCGTAGCGCAACAACGTTAGCATACAACACTTTAGCGTTATTACATAATACATGTATACAATACGCAATGCGATAGTTACAAAAAAGTAGAGCGCGACGGTAGTTCCGCTGATATTATCTGCCACGTGTATCTCCTATGGTAGCGTCTTCGATTATTTTTACGAAATTTCGTTGCTTCTTACGCGGAACACAACATCAAATTAACGAAGACACGTCTCTGCAATATTTATAAATATAAATGTGTATATGTATATGTATATATATATATATATATGTGCACAATCGCAAACGCATATACGCAATAAGGGAGAAGAAGTATATATTTTATTATCGTATATATTTACAAAACGAACAACTAGGCTGTACAAAGTGTTAACTCGAGAAGACAAAGATTCTTCAAAGTCGCGCGTATATATCTTTCGAGTTTTTCGCGGGCTCAGAATAAAATCAATCTTGGGATTATCTAGCGAAAATACATTGTAACCTTTAGAAAAAATTCTTTAATGAATAGTAGTTTATATAATATATCAAGTGAGTCGGGTTTATTTTTATTTGCTGACGTAACGATCGATATGACATTTTATAAAAATATACGATAGCCTCTCTCTCTCTCTCTCTCTCTCTCTCTCTCTTTGAACGTTGATCAACAGCTGGGCTCACGATGTGAGAACTATTCAGTGCTACGCGTCATCAGATTTGAATTTGATACATCAAGCGGTGTTTCGTACAAAGCAAAAGACGACAAGCTTGTCTTGAGATTAATTTTGCATCGTCGGAAGCTGCTTAGTTTGCCGCAGTCGGCCGTTTTCCAGCCGGAATACCTTGAACTTCCACTTCCGCGCTTTAAACTTTAATATTTAATACGCCGGGAACGAGCTGTTTCCTCCGGCCGATTGTCACGGAGCGAAGTTATGTAAAGCACTTGAACAGTCACGAAGATTTGCCGAGGAATTCAACGAGATTATGCGCTCACTTGCAGCTTACGTGTGAAAGGAGCATTTTGCGCGCGAACAAGGCACTGCAAAACGACTGCGAATTTCCGGAAAGAGTTATCGAACGTGTCTGGATTAATTAAAAAAAGACTACCTGAAGTTTTTTTTCAATTTAAACAATTAATCAAACAATTAAAAAAACAAATGCTTTGTTGAAGAATATATATATGTTTGACATTTAAAGTGAAATATTTTCAGAAAATTAAAAGAAGAAAAGTTCAAGTCAAAAACGGATGTTCAAATTTGAAGATTTTTTTTTTCGGAGAAATGCGAGAGCGCGCGAGGTTTAATCATTTTGACGTTTCTCGATCAATGCACATTTCTTTGTGTCTGCACTCGAGTGTCGCAATTGAGAAACTTGAAGTTCTTTCTTTCTCTGCATAAAACGTAGCACTCGAGAATACTGTTTCGCAAAGACGTTTCCATCCGCGATCGTTCGCTCTCGTCGTCGCGGTAACTCGGGACTTTTTTTCTTTGAACTGACTGAAGGGAGAGCGAATCTTGCTGAAGGACTGTTAACGCGAACTTGTTCTAGTTACCGCCTATCGACGGATGCGCGACGACGAAACTTGTTGAAGGGAGTATTGACGCCAAACCTCGTCGCAATAGAAAATTTTAACGAGTTCTCGCGGAGGACTCGAGTGCCGCGATAGAAAAAGCAAGCATGTCGAAAATGCTGTTTTTTTTTTTTTTTTTTTTCCGTCGGCGAGACAATGTAACAAAGTTCGCGTTAGTTTCGTTTGCGGAGCACTTATCGGGGGGACGGAGTGTCCACCGTCGGTATCTCATCCCGCGAGAGAGTAGCATAGTTTTTTTTTTCGCAATTTTGTCGTTTTTCGAGAAGCAGACCGATTGGATTCGTAGCAAACGTCTATACACACACACACACACACACACACACACACACATGAACACACACACACACAGTGATTTTGGTTAAATTAAACGACTTTACTTTCTCGCAACAGACTTTCGTTTTTCTCGAGACCCGGCGTTATATTTGTTCTCGAAATTGAAAAAACACGTGCACGCACTTTCTTTCAATCCTACGCAAATCGTGCGTCACAATGACATCATCGCTCTATTTCCGTTCTCGCGTCATTCTTTTCTTGTATCCTCTCCATATAAATTTTTATTTTAAATATTTAATACACATAGCGTTACACAACAGGGACAGTAAGACGGTAGTATAAAAGACGTAGTATATTCTTCGCGCTTCAAGCGCGCGCGATATTTGGAATAAGTCGCGTAAATCGACATCACGTGACGGGACGTCGTTCCGTTCGCTTCTCGTCAACACGCCATTCTCTTGAGAAATTCGAACGAACACTCTTCGAGCGCAATTTCTCAAAGGTGTCGCATCCAACATCCGACTTTTTTTTTCTCTTCGACGCTTCCCTGATTTTCTTCTCTTCGTGATATCAGACCCTTCCTCAGGCCCGATCAGACGTTGTCGCTGAACGCGTCGCTGGCACCCAGCCGGCTGTTATCCTGAGTCGCGCCAGGATACCGGCCGGGCGCCAGCAGCCAGCCTCACGTCTTGGCGAACTTGTAGACCACGCCGAACACCAGCACGCTCACCAGCATCAGCACCATGGCAGTCACCACCTTGGCGAACACGTTCATCCCGCTCTCGGTAGGCTGCTGAGATCTGCCGCTCGGCACGCTCTGCTTCGCGGCGAGACCGCGAGCCAGCGCCGGGAAGGCCAGGCTCTGGGTGAAGGTCAGTTTGTGAAGGGACTCCGACAGGGAGTACGGGCCCACGGATCCGCGAGCCGCGGCCCTCAGCAGGGCGTACTCCAGATCCAACGCGTCAAACATGCTGTATCTGCTGACAAAAATTTTTCACCGTCTTCATTTAGCACGCATTGTAATTAATATTATCGTATAATTAATGTAATTAATGTAATTAATTTTATCTACGTTTAATTACAATTCTTATTTTTATACTTCTATGAGTTTTCACATACTGTAACTACAATCGCACTTTATCTTAATTTTTAACACAACAATTGTCAACACCGTCAAAATTAACAAAAAACGAAAAAGAACAGAGAGCCACTGGTGAGAGCGAAAGTTCAGTAATTCAATCTTAATTACGTAGATATCGTATTTTCAATCATCTCGCGAAGAAAACAATGAGACACCCGGCTTGTAAAAGACAAAATTGAGAAGACAGTCGAGAAGTTGAGTAGAAAAGAAACGGAGAAAAAGAGAAGATTTTTAAATCAATTTAAGAATTTCATTTAATCAGCGACGCTAGTGCTTCTTGTATCAAGAAATGTTTCTGGAATTACTCTTCAAGCACGCTCTCGGAATTTCAATAAAGATATCGGAGATGAATGTAACAATTCTGGCGTGAGTTCTTGCCCCGTGAGATCAAAGCACCGAGGGTGAAGGAGAGTATAAAAACGGGACCTCTCTTTTATCGGGACGATCCAATGTCTCGGCCTCGCTCCGTGCGTGATAGCTAGGCGAGATCGCGACGAGCGCAAGAAAAAAAAAAACAGAAGCGAAATTGGAACGACCTCGGATCAGGGGTAGAAGGAGAGAGCGAGCGATTTTCTCGAGCGAGGTTTTCTCCGTTGAAAGAACCACTTTTGCTATTTACCGCAAGAAGTCGTGCAATAAGTGCGAGCAATTCTGTCGATAGTAGTACGTATATATGTAAACGCGCGCGTATGTGTATACCGTACGACCCCGACGTCGTTTTGACGCGCCTTCGTATTTCCATCGTACGAAGGTCGTTCCTTGACACGAGTCAAGACCACCAGTCTCTCTCCGAGAGAGCGCGTATCTCTCGCGATATATTCCCGAAACCTTGCGTCGCTCGGCCAAGGATAAGGTCATCTTTTTTACACGAGCGGAAACAAATTAAATCAAGCGAAATGTGCACATTTTGAAATCGTGTTTGCGAGTGCTTGTCAAATTTTTCATAAATATTAAATACGAAATTCTATTTGCGTCTTTGATCCATTATTTAGCTCATTTTTATTATCAGAGAGAAAAAGCAACTTTGAATTTGTATTTTAAATATCAATGCTCATGAATTATATTGTTACGCACAAGAATAATTAATGCAACTCGTTTTTAATAGATATTACATATAAAATAGATTTCTTTTTTTTTTAAATAATTTTCATTGATGTATTCACTTGTGGAAAAAATTCTCCTTGATACAATTCGTTTTTTTTTTTTTTCTAACTGAAGGAATCAAACGGCTGATTAAGTCAGTTCGGGACGTCGAGAGATGAGTCGCCGCGCGAGCGAGCAAATTAAAATTTCAATTACCTGCTGCTGCGTCTTCTGTCCTGGGAGTGCATCGACACGATCGCCGAGCTCGGCATCGATCGCAGGCTGCTGGTGGTCGAGCTGGAAGGACTAAGCGGCGCGGGCCGATCCTCCTGGTCCTCGTCCACGGACGTTCTGTCCGGCGACGGCGGACTCTTCAGTCCCGCGTTATGGTGGTTGTGATGCAGATAGGGAAGCTGCAGCCGCGCGTGATCCGGATGCAGCAAACTGGCGCGGCGCGACTGCTGCGGCGTCATCGCCGGGCTGTTGCAGGTAGCACCGCAAGGCGACGGCGATGCCTTTTGTGTGTGTGTGTGTGTTTTTTACAAATTATAAATCAAAATCGCTTTACACACTTTCGCGAGCTCGTTATGAAAGTCAACACGGAAAAAATTGTTTGCTGATCATACAAGAGCAAACATTTTTTTCTGTGTACGTGTTTTGAACAAGAAAATTTCAGCGAAAATAAAGCATTTTTCTTTAAAAGTCCCGATAAGAACCTCAATTTGCAACGTCACGCGAACACTTTCTTGTTTCCGTGATTCACGCAAATAGAACAAAGTTTATTCAGAGATATATTTTTAGAGATTTTATATTGTTCACATCTAGACGCGCGTGAATGTGATTTGGATACCTGAATGGATTCGATGCCGCTGTCGTGGACACTTTCCTGCACGTCTGGGAATACGAACGCCTGGGCCTGTCCGTCGGCATCGGCTCTGGGCGAATCGCTTGGCCATACCTGAAGAAGGGGAAGTCCCCGCGTCTCGTTGCAGACCTCGGCGACGTTGCTCGACGATCCCCCAGGATTGAGGCACAAGTGCCCCACTTCTCTCAGTGGCTTCTGCTGAACAACATTTCTTGATTGTTTATTTTTCTTTGTCTCGTTTTCTTGTTTGTAAATAAAAAAGTTTGACGCTCTTCTCGTTTCACATGTAAATTAAACATGTTTTGTCGGAAAAAGTGTGTGCAGTTTCTCTACTAAAATGCACTTTTCTAAACTGTAAAATATATCAGCGAGGGAAACTTGATATTGCTCGCGGCAAGGACTCGAAAACAGCGTATCGGCCGTGAAACTTATTACGACCGTATCGCGCGCGAGAAAAAAAAAACTCTCCACCTTTAACCGCCCGATGTCGATAATAAATAAAACGTAGTTGGAAATTTCATATAATGTCGTCGTGGCACGTAACAAACATTTTCCGCGTTTATGTTCGCGTTAGAGAGCGCGGGGGCCTTTTACAGCGCGGCGCGCGCTCGGATATACGAGAGAGGCATGTGAAATATTGAAAAGAAATATTTTTAGCTCACATGGTCGCGGTTTCAAGAGCAGATCCGATCGATACGATTATTCGAGTTGTTTCGCGAACTTTATTTCCGATCTCGGCGAAAAAAAAAAACGCGAGGAGGAGGGAGTAACAGGCGCGAGAAAAAAAACCGAAGGTGGAATACACGCGCAAATTTTTCATCTCGACGAAATCTGCACGTTAAATGGTACGCCTGTCGTGTAAACGAGATCCGCAGCAGATTTTATTTAATCGCTTTCGCCGAAGTGGAGATGAATCGAAAAGCTTCGGTGAGTGATACGCTGGCGTTATCGATATATTACGTGCTCTTGTCACGCGAAACACGTTGCGCTTGTGTCCTTCCATATCGATTACGCGTAATCCCCGCAAAACATCATTGACGTCACATCGGTGACGATTGTTTTTAATTCTCGCGCGCAAATGACTATTAAAAGTCTCTCGATTAAAACCGTAAATTTCGAAAACGTCTCGTAACTCTTCTCGCGAAATCGTAAATTAATTTGGGATTAGAGAACGTTTGAGATCGTTAAATAATAATAAGAAAAAAAAAAAAAAGAAACCCAACAGCGCTTGTCGCGCTAGTGTGAGATATTGAAGGGGAACGTGCAAGCCTGCGTTTTCTCCGAGGCAAAATCCGATGCTGTGTGTTTTTCTGCTAAACCGCCGGCGCTCTATTGACGTAATTCCAGAATGGATCTCTTGATGCTAAAATAACTAATGTCACATTACGCGCGTCTCTCGTGTTAAAAGAAAAAAAAAAAAAAGAAAAAGAAAGAAAATGTCATTCTTATATTACGAACAATGAGACTCGTTTCCAAGCTGCAACGTCTGTTGATTTATACAGTCGAGCTGTTATTTTTGCGTTTGAAACAAGTGTTGTACGACAGAAGCATATCTCGCGAAATATTAAACTGCTCTTGCTTAGAAGAAAGTTAATGAGAATCTTATTTTTAGACTTGCTCGAATATTAATGTACGTTAAAATCAGACATTTTGTTCGAATCGAAATTAAAACGGTGTAAAAGAAAAACGCCGCAAAACAAGTCATTAAGTTTCTCGAGCGTAACGACAATGAAAAAGCGACTTGCAATTTGAAGAAACAAATGTTTTTTCAGATTATTAAAACTTCTGAGCGATTTACATTATGTCCGCCCTCTTGCTTTCGCTTAACCTTCGGCCTTTCCGCGAACGGCTTATTCGTCGCAAGGGCTCCCTATCTCTCTCTCTCTCCGTGCCGATCGAGCGATCTGATTTTATTAAGCCCTCAACGACGAGCAGTGTGGATAATAATAAATACGTTTAAAGTTCAAAACGCGCGGGGTGTCCACGCAGCAGGAGAGCTGCTGCGTCCACAGCAACCGCTGTGGGGGGATGAACGGCTCGCCGGTTTCCGGTGCGACGAGCCTGCAAAGGTCGTCCGCGCTGTAAAAAAAAAAAAAAAAAAAAAAAAAACGACGGCCCAGAAAAAGCGACGGCCGCAGAAGCAACGCGAAACAGATCGATAAAAGCGCGCGCGAAAGGAAGCGCGCCGCCGAAACTCGCACGTCGAACGAACCCCGGAACATCTCAGTCCTTTCAATCTTTTCACGTGAAAGATGAGTATTTTCCACGTACAAACATATATATATATATATACACACACACACATATATACATATTTACTTGTTAACTTTGCAATATTGATACACAAACGTTGTCTCTCAAGCAGTTCGTAATTTTGATGTTCTTTAACGAGATGTATATTATCTGCAATAAAATTGTTTATAAGTCAAGTGCAAAAAAAAACTAAACTTATAAATTACAAAATATAATAATTACATTACTATAATTATATTACAATAAGTATATTATAATAATTCAATATTCGCACAATACATTGACTAGTAAAAATATTTTTTTAAACACTATTTTATCAATAGAAGATATTTAAATAAGAAAAACAAACATACTTTTTGTGATAATTTTATCTTTGAAAACAATTTGTGTCATTTCACGCCTACGATATGTAACATTTATTCGTCAGTCGTTTTAACGTTATATATTGTTAACAAAAAAAAAGATAACTCACTCGCGCAGTAAAACGCAAATGTTGGCAGGCGCTCTACAAACACGAATGGTAAAAAAAGACAATCCGCGAAAATGTGTTCAACGATATGATCAGTTGATATATTTCGAACTATCTGTTTATATTTCTTTGTGAAAAATAGTTGTCAAAGTTGACGTTTCAAATCGCATTCTGTCGAAAATGAAAAACAACCTCGATACAAACGGGATATAAAGTCGGACCAAGGGGTGACCGAGAACAAAGTAAGCCCCGAAACAAATCGATAATAAACGCGCGTGCAGGAAGTGTGCGGGCGACACACACACGCACACGCACACACAGAACAGGAAAATTAAACAGTCGAAAAAATATTGCCGGGGGAATCACAAGTCGAGACACGAAAAATCACAATTACCGCTGGCAAATTAACAACGGCGGTCGGGAAAAAAGACAGCTGCGCAAATTGGACGGAAATGTTCGGGGACGCGCTCACCTGAATGTTATATTATTCGTCGTTGCTCTCTCTCTTTGATTTTTATACGGCGTTTAAACGTCTGCAGCGCAAAACGCGTAAAATATTTTTATTACCCCGCGCAACGATCGCGAGTCACGACAAAAGTCAGGGGGAATGCACGGGAATGTGTTTCGCGATGCGAAATCGAATCGATAATGCAAAAGAAGACAGGGTTAGCTTTTCTAAAGTGCAGGACTTGTTTCCGTCGCGATAAAAAAAGCTTTTCCGTCGAACTTCTTTTCGAATGTCGACAGTAATCGACATTCGCGAGTCTCCTTCCAGCGAGAAAATAGCTGTCGTCGATGTCTCGCGTGCGAGAAACACGCGATCGGAAAAACGAGCGCGTGTTTATTTTTCCTCACCGAGAGAAAACTGATTCGCGCCACGTGACGATTGCAATCTCGAGGGAGGAAGAGGGAGCAACAATGAGGGAGAAAAACGCCGCTCGAATAATCGAGCGTTACAAGCCACACTTCGCATTCTCGTTCACCTTTTCAATGCTAAACGTGTAAAACGTGTTTTTTGTTTTTTTGTTCCTTCTTCCGGCGCGACTTTCGACTAATGGGAGCAGCGGCGCGTGGGAGCGGAACGCGCGAAGCTGGCGCGGTTCCAAATTGACCGCCGCAAGTAGAAAAGCTCGCAATAGAGCGCGACGACGATAAAACACATTGAATACAACGCAGCGAAATAAAAACTCTCGTACGTGTGTGTGTGTGTATGTGCGTGCGTGCGTGTGTGTGTGTGTGTATGTGTATGTGTATCGTCTTCGTTGATTAATTTGGAGTCAAGAAGTCTGCGATGGTTGGTGGAAATGGCGGAAATAATGTTTCGCGAAATCTCCTGAGATTTCGAGAGCTCACGTGTCGGAATTTTGACGTTTAAATAATTCATTCCGTGCGGTCGGTTTCAGAAGTCTTGAAACTTTTAACGCTCGCTGCGCGCGAGAGGCGAAACCGACGATTTTTCGGTGAGTTCGAGTAAATTTGTATTCGTGCCGCATTTTGCTGCCGGAAGCCGCGTCGTCGTCTTGCAAATTTCGTAATGCATTTTCCACGATTTAATCTAACAGCCATGAAACGCGAGCGTAAAACCGTGCGCTGCCACATACACACACACACACACACGCTGTTTCTTGCCGCGATCGCGAGTTTCGTTTTTTGAAAATAAATTTGCGAAACTGATACAAGCGCCACGAGACGGAAGATGATATCGTGCGCACGTTTTTCTGTTTTTTTCTGCGAAAATAGCAATTAACGCGGCAGCGCGGCTCTGTTGCTTGTTCGCGATCGTAAACTTCACACGAAAGCGAGCGATAATAAAGAGAGTGCAACGTAACGCGAGTCTCTCAAATGTGATTTCGTCTGTACGAAGTTCGCAAAATGCGCGGTCGTTAAGAACGAATTACGACGATCGCCGATCGTCGTGGGATTAGACGCGATCGTTAGTAATAAAAACGGAGTGAAACCCTCTGCTATTCTCTCACGTAATCGCATAAAGAGACACGTTTGTTCGTGACCGTGACTGCAAGATCTCGTCTTCCTTTGGCCTTGACGCGAGCCCCGGTCGATGAAGGCAAGAAAAAAAAGGGGATCGTTTCCCTGGCACGACGCCTGCCTCAACTAAATTAAAAGATCGCGCTGTGCGTTTCGGAAACGTTGTGCTTTTTCTATCTCTCTTGGTTACTTTTCACTGGCGCGGTTCTTGAATATGAAAATGCTTGTAAGCGGCCATTTTCCGAATTTCGGATGAATCATAATTCGGCAAAACTCCGACTTCGCGAGCACTTTTCTTTACGAATTACAGAGTTAATGAATACAATTATCTTGTCTCATATTATTTGCGTATCGTATATGAACAAATGTGTCACATGTGTATGGAAGAGCCTCAAAACGGAGGAGAGAAAAATAAAACCCGATAGTAGCTCGATAACAGTAGCAAATAATAGAAGCAAATAAAAAGGAAATAAAGGAAAAGCAAATACATGCGAACGGAAGAATAAATTCAATTGAACGACTAAAAACATTGACGTGAAATTGAAAAAGTTGATTGATTTAAAAAAATATTATCATGAAATAAAAGTGCGGGGGAGAAAAAAAAAGGTTCTTCTCCCTGAACAAACCAACCGATGGTGACTTTTCGGTCGTTCTGCGAGAAGACAATGCCGCTCGTAAACCGAATCCAACAAGTTTTCGTGGCGGACATGCTCGTGTAATCCAATTCAATATACAAGGGACGTCGTAAAACACGCTTTAGAGAGACGTGCGCGATAAAAGCAAAAAAGAAGAGAGACTTTGCGAGAAGAAAATTTCTTTTCTGAGAAACAAATCGAAACGTATGTAACCGCGCTCGCGTAATTTATTTAAAAAAAGCTACTCTCTGATAGGTTTGTTTATAAAAAAAACTACTGTAAAAAAAACATATATTTAAAAACCATTAAGCAACGTTTACTACGATCGTTTATTTCTGATGAAACGTTCTGTTCTCAAGACCGTTGGACTATCCATCGCCGGGGACAACCGCCCCAACCCACCTGTATGCTTCTTGCTTCGTAGCCTTTCGAGGCGAATTCTCTCGAGGCAATCAACAATTCTTATTTATATCTAAATCGATCTCTCATTTCCGCTCTTTCAAACAAACAGCTCGTTTACAACTTGACGAAGCTCATAAAAACCGGACTCGACTACACATCAATCACACGAGAAATCAATTCATCACTCCCTTCGCTCCCTTCTGCTTATTTAAACGATCGATCGGGCGGATGAGTCCAACTGCTTCTTCATCAAATCACAATCGCATCATTGATCGATTCACATCAATCGTTTTCGACTTCTGTCGCGCGCGATCTCCAGAACGCGCGTGGATCGCTTTTGTATACGCGCGCAACTTCCCCTTTACGAAACAAATCTACAACCGTACAGTCTCTAATCGCGCATCCTCCTCTCGCGCGAGAGGAGAAGATCCTACCTGCATGCTTCTGATCGCATGCCAGAAGATCCCGGCACGATCCTCCGAGGCTCGCGTACACTCGGTCCAGGTTTACGACGGGGGTGCTTCGCACGCTCGGTCTCTCACGAGCTTCGAACTGCGACTGGATCAGGCCGCGCGCGCGACAGGATCGTGTGCTTCGCCCTCGCGGGGATTGCCATAGTCTGACGGAGTTGAGCTCCGGCGCGGGAAGGGGCGAAAAAGCGAGGCAGGTGGAAAGGGGGAACTGTGCGGAAAGGAAGGTGGATTGCGGGGGGGTTGTTTTCGCTGTGCCAACAGAGAGATAGTAAACTGTTATCGGCGAGGCCGATGAGCCGCATCGCTTCAGGTGGACGCCGAAGGGTTGGATAAACATGGCTCTCGCACGATCGTTGAATTTTTCAAGGGTAGTTTTCAAAAACAATAAATAAATAAATAACAAAAAACACACCTACCCCAAAAACGCATTATCCACAGGTTGTTCTGTTTGTTTTGTTGAACAATTGTTGCGAGAATAAAAGCCGTAAGCAAAAATCGACTTATTCGCGCTGTTGCTCTTGCTTTTATTGTCAAAAATGAACTTTTCCACGGCAAACGTTGAATATTATGCGCGAGAAAAGAGAAAGAAAAAGAGAGTAAAAGAGAGATAATAAAATTCACGCTCTAGTTGCTTCTTTCTGTCAAATTATTCAAATCGTGAAACATGCATTTATTTTCCGAATCACGTGTATCTATTTTCTGAAATTATATTACGTGACATATATATATATATATATATATATATATATATATATTATTCAAGCTTTTTGTCACAAATCAAAATTTAATTAGAGACAAGACAATAATTTATTTTGAAATAACAACAATGAAGTACTCTTTATCTTCATTATCGCTTGCGCAAATGGTATTACTTTGTTTTATTGCACAAAGAGCGAAACGGGAGAAACTTTACCACTAAAAATACATACGGTTTTACCTTTATCTTTCATTCAGGACTAATCAAGAATCCGTTATTCTATCCGGTTTGAGATTAATTGTTAATCCAACGTGCGTTTTAATTACAATCTTGCCAATTAAATTAATTGAGTAACACGCAAATCGATAGAGTGATATCGAATGATATTGTCGGATACACATGCGTCGGAAATGGAACGAGATTAAATATCTATTTTAATTTACAACGTGCATGATATAAATAAAATGCTTTTCCACAATCGTATTATTTACACACAGATTCTGCGAACTTCCATTGTAATCGCCGTTATACGTTTTATATAAAATCGCTGAATAATTGAAGTTATCCGTCATTTAAGCTTTCAACGAAAAAAACGAAATATTCAACAAAGAAACGTGACTAAAGTCACGTGACAGGGAGGAGAGGAAAAACAACACGCGACTAAGGTCACGTGACTTTACTTTTTAGTTTTTAAAGAGTGTGTCAACACGGGTGCGTAACCGTCAAGGTTGGCATTTGAAGATGAGGACACGAACTACGACAGAAGGACTTTTAGTATTTGGAACGCGTTTGGGAGTGTCAGTTTCTCCCGTTAGACTGACGAGAGGCAGGCAGTTTCATTCTGATAAATTGAACGGTAAACCGCACAAAAGCCAACCAAATGATGTCCCGCCGCTTTCGGCTGGCCGTCGTCAACGTGACGAAATTAACGTCGGAGAGAAACGCGCGGCCCCAGAAACGGAAGGAGGAAAGAAAATAGGGAAAATGCGCGCGTTTATTTTTGCCCAATTACGAGGGAAATGAGAGACGAGCGGTTGAGCTCGCTGGATGAACAGACGCGATTTGGTATGGCACGGGAAAAGAACAGAAGGATACGATATGGAATATCACATCTTTGTCGAGATAATAGATCCAAAGTGCGCGGCTGGAGAGAACATCGCATGCGGAAGGAAAACGTGATCCCGTTTTCTCTGTCGACAGAAAGAAAAATCGACGAAAGAGACCGGTGAAATAGAGGGACATGATTGCGGTACGACAATGCGAATTTCAAGGGAAGATTGGGAAGAGAGCGAGCCGGTGATGTGTTATAACAACAAATGGGATTTCGCCGAGGACGGGGATACTATTTGGCGAACGCATTAAGACGAGAAAAAAGACAGGGATCAAAAATAAAGAAAAAAAAGAAAAACTTACAAAATGCGCGCTGTGATAGATGAGCGCAAATTGTGCGAATTCGAAAACAGAGTCTCTCTCTCTCTCTCTCTCTCTCTCTCTCTCTCTCTCTCTTTTTCTCTTTGAGAAACGAAGGATGAATATAATTGTTGCTAATCGAACTGTCTGAACTGTCTTCGCTCGAGAATATTATACATTGCTGAAGTAGTACAATATAAAGTAAAGTGGAACTGAAATGACATCGATAAGGGAATAAAATGGAACAAAGTAAAGAGTAGAGTAAAATGAAAAGTAGAATTGAAATGGCGCATTAATAAAAGGCCGCATTACGATAAAGTGTAGACAGTTAATTAAATACACACACACACACACACACATATATATATATATATATTATAATCCAATATTTTAATTTCCCTTCTCTCCGATGTTAATTTACAGATACAAAAGCGAAGAAAGTCTTCGTGAGGTAAAGGCAAACTTCCGCAGGTTCTAATAAAATACACCATCGGGGATGTATTTATACAGAGTGTACATAAAAAGATCGCTTCATTCTGTACAGGCGCGCGGTACGAAAATAAAGAGAACGTTCGCTTCAACCCGCAGTACAGATCTTTCTCTCGTTTTACGAAATCAAGAAAGTAATTTTACTTATTCATCCGGTATGGACCGGATCGCGCACACCTGCATCACGCCTGATCGAACGCGATTCGAACGCCGACGGCGTCCTGATTTCCTAGTCCGTCGACTTCTCCGGCGCATATCTCCCGAGGTTGCCAGATTATCGCGATGCAAGAAGAGAGAGAGAGAGAGGGAAAATGATCAGAGAGATGCGCCGCGCTCCATCGTAGATGCGGGAACGGGATGAGATGTGTCGCGGGTACGCAGTTGCGACTAGGACGACGAGAGAGCTAGGAGGGAGGACGAGGACGCGACGCCGGCGCGGCAGGAATCCCGTAGTTCAAGGTCACCGGTCACCACGAAGGGGTGGCACAGCAACCATACGTTATTACAGCTCTCCGGGTCTCCTGTGTTCCACATCACCGCCGGCTAGGCTTGTGCAGGACGACCGATCTTCCGCACACAACCTTGCACATCCCTGAAATCGATATAACCCACCTATCTTTCTCTCATTGCCGACCTCGCCGGTATCCTCCGTGTGCGTACACACGTGTGTGTGTGTGTGTATGTGTACGTATGTACATGTGTGGCAGGCAAAACAGGGCGGATGTATCCTGCTGATGCAGCCGCGCAATGCGACGGCTGCAGCGCAATTCGACGGCACACGCTACCGCATACACGTGGCACATCGAGCGACGACAGGTGGCTCTTTTTTTGTTTTTTTTTTTTTTTTTTGATCATCCCCACGGAAGGGCGTTATTGGGACTTGCGTTTGGTATCATATCGCTACATCGATACATCGTATAAATTGGCGGCGGTTGTAACATATTTTATTCAAGATAGAGCGATTTATATATATAATATAATACGATGTGTGTGTGTGTGTGTGTAAAATATCGAGAGAGAGTTTTCATATCTGTTTCACGTGAAATGTCACGTTTTTGCAGCGAGCTCCCGAGAGCAATAATTCATCTCGACGAGGCACAAAAGAATATGTATCCCGACTTTTATGAATATATTATGTACAGAGTCGTCTCTGTTTCGATTGTGTGACTCGTATGTAAAAGGACGGAACAATGGTTCGGAAAAAAGAAACGGGGAAAAAAGAAAAAAAAAAAAAGAAAACAAGACGTATATATTTCTCGTCGCGGAGAAAAACGTGCAGACGAACCACATTTCGCCAGTTGTGTGTGTTGCGTGCGGAGTTACAATATCATATCTGAATTGACTTGACGCGACCGACACACGGAGAGACGAGACACATGGTGAACGATAGGCATAATAACGGCGTATCGCATTACGTGATCGATACGCGAGGAGGAGGAGTCCTTCGAGACAGATCCGTATCCGGTAAATTGAAAATACCACGGCGAGGACGCGCCGCGCGGGCAAATCCCATTTAGTCTCTCAAGATGATCTAAAAATCGACACCCAAGGTCGCGCGGAAGGATGTGAAACGGGAGGAGAGGACGGACGAGAGAGCATTCCCTCTGGGGAGTGTATATACTTTCGAAATTGTGCATCGTTTGCCGAGACGTTCTATCGATCATCGGCAGATAAATATGGCGCTTCCATAGTTGATTACACACGAAACCATTTATCTTGAGGGCGTCGCGTCTCGTTAAACTTTTCACCCGAAACCGCGCTTGTCATTTTTTTTTCTCCGCGAGATTGAATCCATTATAGCGATATAAACTCGAATTCCGCTTGACGTAGGCTCATTTTTCTTTTGTTTTTTTTTCTTATAATAAAAAAAATTAACCTCCCCCGATTTAATTGGAAAAACTCAGCTAACGTGACGATTGATGAAATTTCAGCTAGCTGAGCTTCCATGTTCCGAGTAACGAACGAGGGAAAATTGCGTTTGTGCAGTCTGAAAGCAAGCGGGGAATCAAGCGGGGATTTCTCGCGCTTACTCGAGCAAGATTTACTGAGGCCATTTCGGTCAACTGCACGAATGAGCCGCATAGTCTGCGAAATAGACGCGGCGCCCCATCTGGAATATCTCTACCTTTCTGTAAAGAGAGCGAGAGAGAGAACAGAAACGCACGGTCTCTTGAATATTCAACAGTACGTAATACCCCCTTAAAGGACTTCTATTTTCATCCGGCTCAATTGCTGCAGGAAGTATAAATAAACGCCACCTTGAAGACGGCGCGGGATCGTTTCAAGGTACGATTTTCAAGGCGGTCTCGGAAATACTCACACTCGTTTCCATAACTGTGTTCCTCGCATAAATTAAAAAGTAATTTTAGGAAGGAAGAGGAATACAAAGTGAGCAAAGAGAAAAAAAAAGTGGGTAATAATTTCTTTTCAATTTCCTGTCCTGACGAGAATGACATTGCGGCAAATCGACCGTGAGTT